TTCGTGTTCTCACTCCAGTTTGTCAGCTAATGTCACTCCTAAAATATCTTATTCATGTTTGCCATAAACACTCTAACAGCTGAGCATTTAAATCCACCCTAAAACCATTTTCTCTTGTCTTTTAAATCTGATTAAATTGGTGTCAAACTATCAAAACTTCCAGGTTGGCCTGGCTACGGACTCCAGATTAGTTTATGGTCTGCATGGGGTTTCACTCACCAACATGTAGAGGAGAGGTTCAGACCAGATACAAGGAATATGCCCCTCTACTGAGTGTTTCTTGAGAGGTTTCACACCCCCAGCCCACTGTCCTTGCTTCGTGGTCGACACTTTGAACCATTAAAAAGAAGACAATAGTATCTATAGGCCTCTTGTGTCATTGTCTTCACTCCAGCTGAACATCTGTCCCCTCTGCCTCTGTGGATTACCCCCTACTCTAGTCTTTTCTTTGTCTTTCTTGTCTTTGACGGGTTTCCTGTCAGTGGTTGGACGTCACATAACCACCACTGACACGGTGTGAAAGCTTGAAACTAAATTGGGAGAGCATGAAACTGACCTGAGAAAGCTTGAAGCCAGTTTTTGTGAAGTTAAAGAGACATTTATTAGTCTTGTCATGAATACATGCATACTGCTGCATCAGATTAGTTGCACTAACTTTCTACTCTGTAAAATTGTTTTTTTAAAACGCTGTGGTATGGTTTCACTTATCGAATTTATAGTTAGTTAGATAACTGTCTGTTTCCTCCAGTTACATATTTAGGGTCGGTTCATATCTATTTAAACTCTTTGTGCAAGATGCTGTTGACGCAGGCATCAGTGAAATCATCTCTAACTACATTCATCTGAAACTTGTACCAGCAGTTAAATACATTAAAGATCTCTTTATTTGGACTTCTTTGCCTCTAAAAACTCCTAATGGTCTGCAAGGTGTCAAACAACTACAAATGTTTGCTGCTAAATATACTTAAAAAGATGATTACATTCAGAAAAGTTATTTTTACCGAGTTGCAGGCATCTTTTAGGGCACAAAAGAGGAAATCTGATTTCAAACACCAGATACACATTAGATTTTAGTGTTTTTGATGGCTTATTTGCATCTGTTTTTAATTTCTTAGCCAGTGATTTCCTTTTTCCTGTTATCTGTTCTGTCCCAGCTGACCAATGAAAATGCACCTTTTTTCTCTTTTCCTGTGTTTTTAATGATGTATTGATTTTTGCTGTGATCATCAGAGCAGCAAACTGACCTCTGCAGAGGAGCTACGACTCCAATAAAACAAGACGTGTCCCTGGGAGCGTTTGTTCAGGAGCTTTAACATCAGTACAGTTCTGCTGTGATCAGTTATATTGTGAAAGAGCTGCCACAGAGATTGAATCTGTTACGATCTTGTTCTGTGATCTCATTTTCTCAGCTTTATCGTCCATACAGAAAGATGGCCATGTGAAATGGTTCTTATTTAACTGTCTTTCTTCAACATAAAGGTGCATTGTGCAATGTTACCCAAATGTTGCTTTAAAACTTTTGTCGGGTCACAGAATTTTTTTTCCGCACACTGCATTTACTGCAGACTTAGTTTTCTACAGTTGTGCAGGAGATAAAAAATAATAATAACATGCACATTTATGCAGTGAGAGCTGCCACCAGTTGGATTTGTCATGAAGTTAGTGTGGTCATATTGACCCATTTGCTTAAAGAACGTCATGTTCTCAATGATAATTCATTTCCTCATTTTAACTCCTGGAGATACTGAAGCACGCTTACTCTCTACTGCCTTCTGTGGTAGACCTGAAGAAAACAGGAGGTCAGAAAAGAGATTACCAGCTTCAGTTGTGGTACGCTCTCATGTTTTTGATGTCAGGCTTTACTACATTCTTCTGATACTGAATGTTGGTTTGTGTGGTACTTTTACTCTTCACAATGATTCGGTTGTCATTCTGGATAATTCATATGTATCAGTGATACAAGTTTCTGAGAGTTTGTGTTGTGAAAAAATATCCCAGATCAAGATCTGACAACAATATCTGGCTTGAAAACCGATTACGTTGAAACAAATATAAATTTGTCATTTCTTATCTTGACTGTTCTCATCCATAAGGACTCCCTAGAAGCTCCTCCAACAGCTCTAATGCCATTTTTAGAATCTGGTCAGTATCAGGTCTGTGTTTTACTAAATAGAAGCAACAGCTCTTTCCGTCAGGTCGAGGAACAACCATCTATTGAAAGTGATGTAGGGTAGAAATTGAGGAAGCAAAGAAATGTCCTAATAATCAGTTTTTTAAGAACAACTGAAATCCAGATTAAGAAATGAGCCCTGCTGAAAGCTTAATGTTGAAATTTACAGCTTTGCTTTGACACCATTTGTCTGAGGCCTTCGTGATGTTCTGGGTTTCCAAAACAAATATTGTTGTAATCTGACGGGACAGAATTCTAATTGTCATTTCACAGCCTGACTGTTTCAGTTTAAAGTCTAGATTTAGCTTGGTGTTTCCAGTTTGACCAGTACATAGGTCGTATAAAACTGCATTTTAATATATCTTTGCCTCATATGTGTCCTCCTGCTGGTGTTCCATCTGGGTTAAACAGAGAGAGAGAGAAAAAAAGGGTCAGGTCAGTGTGTCCTCAGTATGGGGAGGTTTGAACTGGAATGGTAGCCAAATAATGTGCATTAGTTCAGATTAACTGGCAGTGTGATACATTAACCTGCACCATAATCTCCATCACCGCTTAGAAGGACTGGAGGTCAGGGGCTGATCCTTAAACTAGCGTGCGTTTGTTTTCTTACAGCCCACGGACAACCTACATATATTTAGGAACTGCTAAGTGTCTCCTTTGTTCTCTGTTTGAACCCATTTCCTGAATGCTAAAAAATATTTAGCTACACAGTTCTATTTATTGTCCTACATGTACTACCACAATAGTAAAAGCATCAAAGTGAGTGGACTGTGTCCTGAAATAACAAGCAGAGCCTGGTTCATCTCCTCCAGGATTCCCCACAGGAACCAGGTCGGGTGTCAGAGGCCACAGATGAAAGAATGGAGGCAGGTTTAGAGCAGGAGAAGGAGGTTTTAGTTTTTGGTACAGGGACCAGAGAAGCAGACTTTAGTCCATGTGCAGGTTTGACTATAACTCTGGTAACTCTTCAGCCAACTGTGACAGAAGTGACGCTGGGATTTGCATGCTGTGTGCACACATTAACTGGAGTTAGATGAGAAGTGGATTCATTCTGCACATCAGACCTTTGAAATTCATATTTTCCTATTAAGACTATTTTTAACAAAGTAAATCACAGTGTGGACACGTGTCCTTTGGCACACTGCTGCTTTATAGTTTCCACTGGTGCACAAAGAAATGGAGAATGGAAAAAGATTTTGTCTTTATCTGTCTTTGGTTTGGAGATCACTGTGTTCATAGGCAGAAATGAAATGTGGACTTAGCAGCAGGTGGCTTCTAGTTTATTTCTGTTCAAAGTTTCTTTATTTTGAAACCGCTCTCATAATCACTTACAGTAATTCTACTTAGACTTTCTGCTGAGAATGAAACTAAGTTATTTTTACTGAAAAATCTGATGATTATTTTCTTGATTAGTCATTCAGTGTATTAAATGTCAAAGAAAGTGAACAAGGCCCAAAGTGATGGCTTCACTTTGCTTCATTTGGCTGACCAACTGTCCTCAATCCAAATATAGTCCAGTTTCTATGACATACAACAAAACAAGGCTGTAAATCCTCATATTTAAGAAGCTTAAACCAGCAAAGACCTGCCATGTTTGCTTGAAACAGTGGATTGATTATTAAAATAGTTGCCTTTTATTTTTATTTCAGTGGACTATGTGGTTAATTTTTCCTGCCCTCAGTGATTATTTTCCATATTGAATAATTTGCCAGTGATTTCCCTGCTGGTTTGTGAAATCCTGCAAAGCAAGAATTGTCTGGAGCCTAACCTAACACATTCAAGTTGTTTGTCTGACCTTGTCTGACTGATCATATCAGAATGCTTTTCTTCCTGAATAAGAAAAGCAGCTTGAATCTGTGATTTTTCTTTGTTTTCTGCGGCACAGAGAATCATGTATTTGGAGTGGGGTTGAACACTGAAGTTGGAATGACAGGAGGCAGATAAAGGGCAGGGAGATGACAAGAGCATGGGCTTGTGTCTGGCGTACTTTCACATAATGTGTTTTTCTTGATAGCTCCTTCCTTCAGATTCATAATTTATTAATCGGCTTCTTCTCTTGTAGCTGGGAAATTGCTTTGTGGATGGCTTTTCCATTAAACTCCAGCAAGTGCCTGTTTGGTCCCACGTGATCTTAGCAAAGATTCATGATCTCAGAGTGACTCATCACATTGTGGATCATAAGCTTGATGCTTTTGTTTTGTTTTCTATATGTTGTAGTAGATTTTACAGTGTGGTACAGTGAAGCGAGGGGCCCCAGCAGCTACAGCGAGTAGTCTCCCCTTAATTTAATCCCCTCCCATGTAATCCCGCCTCTTCTGTCATTCCTGTTCCTTTCAAACCCCCCTCCCTGTGTTTTTCCGCTCTCTCTCTCTCTCTCTCTCACCGTCCTCCTCTCTCATCCCACTTATTCCACCTTACGCCTGATGGAGCATTAAGCCTGACTGCTGTGGGCAGCCGTGGCCTCAGATTCAGACTGTGTTGGAGTGAGCCGGTGCTGCATCGGTTCCTCCCCTGCTCTCTGGAATTCTAACTCCTTCCAGATAATCGGGAATTACTCGCTACAACTGTGCAGTTTCTTTTGTTGCTGGGTGGCAGTGGGGGTCAGCGGACATTGTTCCCAACCCAGGCCCACTCTGGCTGATCTGCACTTGCTCCACTTTGGACACCTGGAACATGGTCTTGTGGATGCCCTCTCCAACCTAAGCTCAGCTTTTTTTTTTTGTTGAGCTAATTTGGAGCATTGGATGGACATTTTCTGGATTTGGCTCTTTCACAGTGAGACACGGTGGATAAGATGGTGCCCCTGCAAAAAAGGGTAATCTGAGTTGTGTGTGTGGAGGAGGAGAGGAGGGTTTTATGTGCATGATGTAGCTGCACTGACGCGTGCTGCTTGTTGTCTGTTGTCTGTTTTGTGCCCTGAGTGGTTGCTGTCGAGTCATAAGGAAGTAAATGCTGCGTGATTGCTTTAATGGCCACATGGATCCCAGTGAGCATGCTGATGGGCATTTACAGGGAATGAAACTTGTAGTAGAAACCAGACAAACAGTGAATAGGTGAAACAGAGAGGACAACAAAGAGGAGTGATGAAGCTTTTTCAATCAAATGCTTGATGGCTTGGTTTTATCATTGTCTTCTGGTGAGTGGCTTGTTGATGAGTGATTACTCATTGAAACTGCCTAACAATGCCGGGTGGAAACCCCCCTCACTCACATTGCCACCTATTGTTTTCCTTGAGTACCTAAATTGCATTTTCAAAGGTGTGTGAGAGATTTTATCACTTTTCATTCAACATGATCTGGCTTCAGTAAACCTTAAAAAAAACCCTCAGTTGTCCTGAATTTGCAGCTGCAATTCTAACAAAAAAGCCAGAAAACACAAAGATGATTGCTGCATGACTTTGTCAGCTATGGTACACCTCTTGATCTTTCCTCACCACAACCGCTTCCTGTGTCACTGGTATGAATGTACTTCTAATGCAGGATGCTAAAAGCAGACGCTTAGCATTGCATTGCATGGCTTTCTCACAGAATTAGACAAACCTCTCCATCTGACACCTGCTTAGTGTGCCGTGCTAGATGGTCTGTTAGCTGGACAGCATTTGAAGACTTCAGACATGGTGGAAGAGAGGATGGGGGACTGTTGGAGTTACACCAAGGTTGTTTTTTTTGGTTTACCTTTGAAATTAAGTCAGGAGGTTGTGTGGAAGAGCAATATGAGCATCAGTAAATCTTAGCTGTGGTGCGTGCGTGTGTGTGTGTGTGTGTGTGTGTGTGTTAAATGCTATCCCAGATGAAGTGATGCAGTTTTCTGAAGTGATGAATATCAAGATGTGACTTCAGCCAACTAAAGGCTCATTTTTTCCTCACAAGTCATGAACAAATCCTGAATAATGAGTTCAGCCTGAACAGCTGTGTTTGGTTATCAGTAGTGCAGGCTGCTTAGTGCTGTTTTTACTATGAACTACGCTTACCCTCTGTAGCAGACCACACTTTAAAATTGTATTATGGATACTAAGGGAGAACTCACTATTTACACTGGTAGCTTAGAATGAGTGCCGCTGAAGAGGGCCATGTCGGTCATATTCCATGCACACCAAATTTGACGGTTTAATGCGTGATGCAGATGCTTCTGTCGGTTCAGTGACTCAGAATAAATATGTTGACTGATGCATATATGGCCAGTGAGTTTGACTGAGGGAAGCTGGATGAACAATATTCTTACCATAAATCAGGCACAAGACTGAGTAGGAGAAGCCTAGTCAGCTTTTTAAGTAGTAAGAATTTGTTTGCTATGCTTAAATACTAAGATAAATACTCCATAATCTGTGATGTTATGAAAACAAACCTGATACTATGTGAATTCAGCGGTAGGTCTTGTGTTATAATGTCACTGTGCAGTGTCCGCACATTTTTTCTGATCTTTGTTTGTTGTGCTCCAGCTCTCTCTGTTCTTTCTGCATCGTAAATGATAACAGATTTCTGTCTCCTTTGAATGATGTAATCATTGCGTCTTCCTCTTTTCTGCAGGATCAGTTTGACAACTTGGAGAAGCACACACAGTGGGGGATCGAATTTGTGGAGAAGTACACCAAATTTGTCAAGGAGAGATCAGAGATTGAAACCAACTATGCAAAACAAATTAGGTGAGTGCTCAAAGCCGACTTATGATCCATATTGGGAGCTGCAGCGTGGTAATTAGGGTGGATGGTTTTCCTCCAGATGGCTTAGATAAAAAAAAAAAAACCCACTCTCCCACTCAACAGTCTACGGCAGGATTTGACCCACTGAAATACCCTTGAAACAAGAGATTGAATCTTTACCAGCTCATTATGTAGCTGACCCTGACCTCTGACCTCCCTCTGGAGGAGGAAACTCAAACGAGAAATCCCACGTGGGTAGCAGTACATTGGAATATTAACTGTCAAAAAAAAAACTCTCATATTTTAACAGCACTACCGTTGTTTCCCTGCAGGGAAGCAGAACTGCTTTATGTAATGCTAAACAAGCAGGCGGAAGAGGATGTCTGTTCCCTCCTCCATCCTTTTCTCTCTTTTTGTACTCTGAAGAGTCTTTCTGTCTGCCTCCCTCTCTCACTCTCCCCTACATGCATGCTGTCTGTTGTTGTTGCTGGTTTCAGCTTCAGGCGAGAGGAAGTCAGGTTGTGGGGGGATGGGGTGGAGCGTGTGTTTCCATAGAGACTACTAGGTATCAGCATTATCAACCCCAGGTCTGACCCAGATTTTTTTTCCTCCAACCACAAGTGTTGGCACCGCCCCCTCCAGTTCTCCTCACAGACAGTGTTCTGGTACAGTCACTGATTTTCAAAGGCAGTGATGGGAGTATGTACAGCCATGTGCTGAGAGGATCCGTCTCCTCAGGCCTCCTGCATGTCAGCAGCACAGTAGGAGTTACCCCCCAAGTCTGCAATCCTCCTCTTTAATGAGGTCGTGCAATATGGCTAATGCTCTAAGTATTGACCCCAGCCCCCCATTTTATAGTGAGTAGCCAATACCGTTGCAGCATTTTTACAGAAACCCAGATCCTCTACAGACCATGCCACTCATCTTTTTGAGAATTAAGTCAGCTTGAGATAATAGGACTAGCGGTCTGTGTTTACATGCAAGCATTAGCCACATATCCCTTCACCCATTAGGTTTTCGTACAGACACATATTAAACAGCAATAGCGTTTTTTCACCAGAATTTTAATTATACTTGTGGATTATTTTTTTTGATAATGCTTAATTTGTTCTGCTTTTAATCTTTTTAAAAGCCTGCTAAGACATCTGATTTTAGAAACACAATGTCAGACCTCAAACCAAATAATTTATGATGGGAAACTACTTCTGGGTAATTCTTAACTTTATCTGAAGTTAGTTTCTTTAAATCTAAATTAAAGCCTTGTTTAAAAAAAACTGGACTAAGAAGATACAGTATGTGCTCACAGATATGCACTTGTTTTCGTGCACATATAGATATCCCATAATTGAATTAGCCAGCATCTGTCTACAGCATGTTCAACTGTTCTTGCTGGGGCAGGTTGGCTTTTATTGAACTTCAGGCTCCACAGATGGTGCGGATGTTTTCAGTCTTAATGTATATACAGAGGGTCTGCTGTCACACCGGGTCTGTTATCTAGTAGACACACACACACACACACACACACAATGTACACGCTGTCAGAAGAGGCTGAAATAAGGAAATTAGGACGTACAAACAGGACGACTTGAGTCACAGAGTTTATGAACACACTGCTTCTTTGTTTTGGTGCTACTTGGCCATACTTGAGGACTAATTATCCTTTGTAATCAACTTAGCTCGTGAAAGTAGGTTTAATCTAACAGGCACACTCGTACCAGAAGTAATAAACTAATGGAAGTGGCCCTTTGGTCCAGTCTTCTTTTTCTGTCATCTGTGTTGTTGGGCAGATTGTTGTCTTAGACGTAGCACTTTTTCACATTAGTTCAAGTGGATGGTGGAACTGCATATAGCTGTGCAGCTTTATTAGCCCTGGTTTTGTATTGGTGTAACTTTTTGGTACCCATTTTTTAATAGGACAGCTTGTAAAGCTCGTAACCATTTCGGAGCTCAGGACCAGGTCACATTGTGACAGGCAGAGACTGCCCTCAGCCAGAGAAACGGGTTCAAGAGCGACACCAACACATTGCTCGTCTTGAACCAAGAACCATTTACACTAGGAGCTGGCAGTGGGATTATGGTGACCAACAAGACCAACTAAACATTTTTAGAGAACTAGAGGTAGTGTAAAGTCTAGTCTCGCTAATCCAAAGAAGAAGAACTAAAAACAGGAGCAATACTTTTAAAAAGATGATGTAGCCCATTGTTGTTGTGCTTGGTGCTGACATTTAAAAGAAACTAGAGATGTGTGAGGTTTACAATGATGTAATGACCTGGCTCTTTGGTGGCTCGAGCTAATGCTTATGAAAGATTAGCCAACTGGAAAATGGCACCAATACCTGGCCAGATAGGCATGGCAATTATTTTTTAAAAATATCACCAAAATCACACCATGTATCATAGAAAGAAACTGTAAAAACAGTAAGAATCATAAGATTTACAGATTTCTGGCAGTCCTTCACCTACTCATATCAGGAAAACTTCACAAATCTAAGCTTTAAATCACTATAGTTCGTCAAATTGACTTTATTCTACATGTCTAATTGAAAATGAGCCTCAAATATACTGTTTGCTGTCACTGGATTCTGCAAAAAAACGAAAAAATCAGATTCCCTTGGCACAACCATGAACCCATCAGAGATGAAGCTGCGGCCAGTATCATCTTACAAAAATTCAGGGACTGATTTCAGGATTAATAAAATGAGTGAAAATTTGGCAGGAACAATTAAACAGCCAGAAACCACTTTGTGTTACCAGACTGGAAACACTTGATTAATGACTCAGTTATTGAAATCTCATCATGATTGAATATCTTTGCGTTTTGGAGTGTTAAATAGAGAAAAGTTGTCATTAAAAGACAAAAACTTTTACTATTTTATAGACCAAATGATTAATTGAGAAAGCGTTTTGTCAGATCAATGATTTAAAAAAGGCCTGCAAAGTGGGCCAGTTATTGTGGAGTAATTATTGATCACAGCTGTACAAGTGAAGTCAGCAGTTGTAAACAGAATAGCCTACATTCCTCACTGATCGAGTGTCATCTGTGGATATTTCTTTGCACCGTTTCATCACCATACCAACCACACTCTGCACTAAGCCATGAATAATCCTCTTCCCTTCATTGGTGTAAACATGCACAATGCTTCAGTCTAGTCATTGCAGGGCATTAATGCCTCCTCCCCCCCTAAATTCCAGTCTGGCATAATCCATAACTAAGTGGGAATAAAGTCGCCAACAATGGAGACTGGGTGAGGGTGAAAAGAAGGAGTATGTGGTTGTATTACCAACCAGTACGTGTAGACATTTTCTTCCAGTAATATTCAGGTAAAACACAACACACAGACCGAACCAGACACACAAACACACCTAACAGGCCTCCATTAATCCTCGTCGGTAACAGCGAGCCACTACCCTAATTTTGACAACTTTATTAAATATGTTTCTGAGGTGAGCGAGACAAACACAATCTGACACACAACATGTGGCTGTGAGTGAATGAATGAATGAATGAGTGGGAACCAGCGCTATAATTAGAGTTGGGGTGAGAAGGACGGAGAGCCAGATTGACGGGTAGATCTGCCTAGCAACAGAGCAAACACCACTGGGGAGGCGAGGTGGGGGGAGGTGGGCAGAGAGCTGGATGGAGTTTGCTGCAGACCTACATTACACATAGTTTTTTTTCAACACGTGAATTATTTATTTCAGCCGGAATTAAACATGCCCTTTTACAACATGTACACGCCGAGGCATTTAGATTTAGATCGGGAAATAAACTACTGTGATTTCACAACAAAACAAGAACAGCGACCTCTGACTGTAACGCCCTCACAAGCACCAATATAGAAATACAGTAATAATATTATTGCTGATATGCAAAGCAGACGACAGTGTTGTGAATTTAATCGTGTACTGACAATTTCAAATATTTATGGCCTTTAATATAAAATTCTGATTTCCAGTGGATGAATTAGTAAAACAAATATAGTAAACAGTCATGATTTAGAATAATAGAATATAATAGAAATACTTTATTAATCCCTGAGAGGAAATTCAGTTGCTAGAGCAGAAAGAGTAAAGTTACCACCACCGTAAATACAGATTTGATGTATATCTTGCTATATCCTGATTTCCAGTGTCTCAGATAACGTGTAGATGACTTAACTTGTTTGTGTTTGTCCTTTTTTTGTGTAACTGCACCGCTTGGTTGTTCATTTTTAACTTGACAGCACTGCTCTTTAATTAGACAAAGGATCCTGAAGGCATAAGCACACAATGTGTACCCAGACCCATCAGAGCACGGCCCATATTATTATGTTTTGCTGACAGAGTACCAGTCGGGCGCTGAGCGTGTCACACCGTCATTACAAAACAACGAGTGACATGATGCGCTCTGGCCTGCAGTGCATCACGTTCCTGGGTTGAGAGAAGGACGTAGTAAAACGCTGCCGTAATAACAGTCAGGCTTGGTATTTGCAGCCCAACAACACTGGTTCACCTGCAGCTAGCACTGTGTTTTCTTTCATCCTTACACAACTCTGTCTACTGTACATGTCATTATTCCTCCTCCTCCTCCTCACACTGCTCCCATCTCGTGCCACTTATATACAGCCAGAGTCAAAACAAGGGCAATGCATTGGAAAAGCATGCTTGTTTCTGGTGACTGGCTCTGCATGCATACTCCTGGGGGCAATGATTTATGACCTGGAGAGAGGAAAGAGATGTAGCAGCAGGAGCAGAAAGCACTCTGCTGGATTGAATGGTGTGCTGGATGATCCTCTGGCAGGTCCATAAGGGCAGCGTCAGGAAAACATAATGGGCATGGTGCACCACCCGTCGGCAGACCGGACTCTCTGAGAAAGATGCAATACGAAATGTCTTAACGAGGCCGATGTCTTTGTTCTTACAGGAATTTATCAAAGAAATATCAACCCAAGAAGAACTCACGAGAAGAGGAGGAGAGCAAGTGAGTTCATGGATCCTTCATGTCAAGTAGATTAAAGGAACAGTTTGACATTTTGGGAAAAACACGCAGTACACTTTGTGGTGGAGACACATGAGAACATTTATACCCCTCTCATATCTTTCTGTTAAATATAAAAGCCAGCAGCTGATTTGCTTCGCTTAGCAAAAAGTAGAAGCTGTTATACACGTTATATCTCATTTGCTCAACGTGTTGAAAAGCCAAAGTGTAAAAATGACAGTCTGTAATAAAGGAAATGGATTTTTTTTTGCTGTAGCCTTAAAGCATCGATCGAATCATTGACTCTGTCAGAACGCAAAAAAAAGAAGCACATTTTCTAAAATGCCAAACTATTCCTTTGTCCATTTCCTTTTTTAACTCACAAAATTCTTCCTTATCAATCTCAAACCGCTCCTGCTGCTGCTCTGTTTGACAACTCTTTCTCCAGGTACACCTTCTGTCGAGCCTTCCTGATGACACTTAATGAGTTGAATGACTACGCAGGTCAACATGAGGTTATAGCGGAGAACTTAACGTCTCAAATCATCGCCGACCTGACGCGCTACCTGGGGGAACTGAAGTCTGAGAGAAAATCGGTGAGACGTAATACACATTTTGGTTCTTTCCATATCCAGTGTTTGCCTTTTTTTTGTTTTTACCCATGCTTGTGATTTAGATCCAACACTTACTTTAGTTGGACAAGGATCCTCTAGTGGAAAATAGACACACTGGCCAACCAGAAATTAAGCAGCTCTTTCTCTCTTCATACTCTATTCTCCATGAGCTGAGGTCATTGCTGGGTAAATATAGATACACCCAAAGGCTCACCAGAAGTGCAGAACGTGACTGACTGAGTCCTTTTTATGGAGCACAGTCATCGTGTCTCTCTATCATTACGGCCTTATTTGACTTTTTTCAAACCAGCTCACAAAAGATCGGCGCACCACACTCCGCTGTTAAATGTTCAAATCACTTTCCTCATCGACATTATAAAGTGATTTGGAAGAGTGGATGACCTGCCGCGCATGATCCGTAGATAACAGTGTGGTGCCCATTAAATCCACGCAGCTGATGGAGGAGGAGGGGAGAGAGAGAGAGAGAGAGAGAGAGAGAGCTTTCCAGCTGGAAAAAAAATACTTTCTGAGGAATCTGTCCTGAACTCTTGCGTCTTGGAAGTCCAGCTGAGGGAAGTGGAGTGTAAAACCAAAACCAGAGTGTTGCTCAGAGGCACTGTGACCTTTTTTTTCTTTTTTTTTCTTTTTTTAAATGTATTGCACAAATGATGGCATCAGTGCTGCTGAATTGATTCTACCTTGATACTGGGAGCTCTGGGCCATATTATTAGTGATCAGAATGTATTTTAAGCTCTGTTTTAGCTGCAGTAAACACAAAGAGAAAGGGGATTTCCAACGCTGCCAGGACTGATCTCTGCCTGGCTCGGCCTTGCATAGCTCACTGTGTTCAGAGTTGTCTCTTGTCACAGAAGGTCCTTGGACAGACCTCTGTTTCTCTGAGGCTGCAGGATGCCACTTTGACACTTCTCTTCCTCTTCATTTCTCTGCACTTTATTTTATTTTAAAATATCTCTCTCCTTTTCTGCCCCCGTTGCTCTTCTCATTATTTGCCCTCACAACCTTTGCACCCTGTGTTTTCTCAGTTCTCCACATCCTTTTTTTTTTTCTTTTTTTTGCAGCTGATATTCTTGATAGTGTGTCATGTGTCTTAGCAAAAGAAGCCTGTAACAGTGTTTCTTCAGTTAGTCAGTGCTGGGGGTTTCCCTCCACAGCGTGACCCTATAACTTACACTATCTTTTCTGAACAGAGGATCATTTCATCTAACGGCACTGAGCAGATAGTTTCTCAGTCATATTCAGAACACTGTCTTTGTAGGGGAAATGTAGCCCATTAAGTTTTATTTATTTATTTCAAAGTTTTGATTGAAAGACACAGTCACGCTGCTCATGAATGGAGTAGAATGACACTCTTTGGTTTATTCAGCTGTTGAAAAGGCTATTGACTACAGCAAATCCCCCGCTACAAAGAAAACGGCCTTCATGAAAATTAATTAGAGAAAAACACGGGGTTTCATAAGATTGTCTGTAGTTAGTGATATTCTGAATGGTGTTTTAAAGCCTCATGACCCCAGCCTTCCTTCATTCATGTCTCTGTTTTTTGCTAATTTGTAGGCACCATTCAGTGTTTTCTCCATCGCAGCATTTAGATTCATTTCCTTGTCAGACAAAGCTGTCTGTGCAGGCAGATCCAGACAGTGGGATTAGAGGAGGGCCGAGGCCTGCCCCTCCCGGGTTTATAGTGAGCTTATTGGACAGGTAAAATCCACACTGCAAGCCCAGGAGGAGAACAAAATATAATACCTCATTAGTTTCTCATGTGGGGTTGTTTTATAACTCTCCCTACCTCCCTTTGCTTGTTTCCCTCACTGAACCTCCTGCTAAGCTCAGCTTGGGGTGGCATTGGAGGTGAGGCCAGGAATGTTGTCTTAACGGAGCCAATATACTTGTTTTTACAGAAGTGAAATCTAATTTGATATGTCAGACTATGAAATGTGACGCTACGTATCAGGACGTAGAGTAAGATGGTAAAAGCGCAGAAAATAATTTTAAAATGAATCATAGCCCCAGTAAGATGCATTCTTATTTGCTGTGCACTGCTTATTTAATACCTAATAGCATAATGTGTAATGTTGAAGAGGCAGCAGGGTTAATATGGGATGAAGAGCCTAAGTCTCACTGGACTGTGTTTGTGCTGAGGAATCATAATAGGATGTTCAGTCAGCACACTGCTGTCCTCCTCAGGTCTCTGATCACAGGGCTTATGTGTCATATCTAATGAGGACTGACGAAGACTCTTAAACACTCTGCACGACCTCCCAAAACAGCTGATTTACTTAAACATTTTACACATTTCACAGTCTGTATGTCCTGTATGATTCAGTATGTATTACTGTAGGGATGGTTCTGTCTTCTCTTTGTATCCACTCGCACCCACAGCGCAGCACATAATTATATCTTTTGGTGTTGGAAGAAGTTGTGATGTGACATGTTCAGCCAGCTAGAAAAAATGAAAAAAGAATGCATGTTCTTCAGCTGCCAAGGATGGAAAAATAGGCATTTCATTTAGTGAAAATTCCGCGAAACCTATAATGCACAATAAAATGTCTTTAGGTGGTTTTGGCAGAGGACATTGTCCTCATTTATCTTGTGGAGGCGGAGAAGAGAGATGCAGCCACAGTGTAGAAGCAGTGTATCTCTCAGGAGTGGCCTCTCATGCCTTCTTGTGTTGAGTGGAAAGACAAATAGGAAGCTGAGAGGGAGAACTGATCGACCCGGAGTCACTGCATGCACATCTCAGTCCAGAATGACTTCAGTATAAACACCCTCAGCAGCATCACTCCATTCAAAGTGTCGCCTAGCTCTTTAAACGTTCAGAGAAAAGTCTCAATGGAGCTTTCAAGAGGTTTAATCATCTCTGGCTCTTCTATGACTTGTGGCTATTTCTAGCACCTGATGATTATATGAGTGCTGACATCTGTACGGGACTGCAGGTGCACATTCCTATGACCCAAGTCATGTCAATGAATGACTAACAACTCGGTTAGAGGTTCAGTGCACACAGATGTATATACATCTGCCTCTCTTAACGCAAGTAGCTCCAAAATGCAAATGCTGCACTGCAGTGGGTCTTCCTTTCCTGTCTTATTTGTCAGACAGCACAGGATGTCTGCTGACTCGTCTTTCCGTCGCCTCATGTCTTTGTTTTGCTGAAAGCATATTACACAGTTTATGAATGTACACACATCCGATAGATATTTCCAGAGGTGTAGGAGGCAGCTAGTAAGTGTATATGACACTGGAAAGTCGAGAAGCTGTTAAGAGAGGCAGTGAATCGGTTGTGGTGACCCTGGAGTGTCCACAGTATCATAGTTCTATAAAAGCTCCTATTAGATTGCAAGATGTGCGTCCTTTCATTCTTACATACTTTGCTTCTGTCTCAAGGACTATGGTACCTGGAGGGAATCTGATGGTCTGTGTTATACCACGAGGAATTCCTTTCTCTATGAAAATTGCTTTGTAGTCATGGCAGAGAAAGCAGGCCTGCTCTGCATTATTAAGTAAATATTAACTCCGCTGTCTCTGATCTCATACTTTCCAATCCCACTTTTATTGCGGTTAATATATTGATGTACTTTAGTAAAAGTTTGGAAGAGTTTATTTTGCGTCTCTTACTGCTTTTTTTAAACTGCCTGGGTAACTGAGAGTGGCAACTTCAGGTCAGCGACCTGTTGTGTTGAAGTGCCTCAGATGTCCCTGACAGCGCCAGCCGTCACAGGCTGTTACTGACTGGGACGAGTGCAAGAACGATGGATCATGTCTTCTCTAACCTTGAGGCCTGGATGGACTACGAGTGATGAATGTACCTCCAGAGTCCATGAATTTAAACACGGGGAAGCCGACACTGCAGCACATCTGCCTCTCTTTTTGCTGTGTACCTGCATCCCAGATGGCTGATAGCTCTTTTATCGTGTGTGAAAGTGGATGAGCTCATGTGTCTTGGTTTGATTTGGCTCCGTAGAGCTTCATCCTCCAGCCGGATCATGTAAAGCTGATGGAGCTGTTTGGAGAAGAGTGTCATTTGTAGTTTGTTTATCTTCGTAGTGATCTATGTTTTGCTGATACAGATGAGATGCTGGATATTTGTCAGACATGTTGTTATGGAGACAAATATTTGGTTGAAAGTGCGCTCCACAGTAACAGTGACGTCACCCAGTCTGTGGTGTTCTGTCTTTAGAAGAAGCTTCGTGGTATCTTTGCATATTGTCATGTAGGGAGACATACTTTCAAAGTATGTCACTGAAAATTTCCCTTTCATCAAAGAGGTGTTTGAAGGTCAGGCTCAGCAGTGGGAAAAAAATACAGTACATACATTGTCCGGACTTCAGCAGCTCCACAATGTCCCATTTTCTGTTCGAGCTCAAATACTTCCTCTGAAACACTGGAGCACTTCCTTATTTTACTTAGCTTCCCTCGAAACTTTGGGAAATGAGAAGTGTGACTACCTGAGGTAAACCACGGTCCCTTCTCACTAACTACCTACTCTCATGTTCAGTGTAACTCAGGTAAGAAAGACCTGGACGCCTCATGCATCGGTCTTAATTTCACATCTCCTGCTCGTGTGTTTAAGTCGGTACACAGAATACTGACTTCCTTGTGCTGCAGAAGCACTGAAATGCCAGAGAAGTACAAGCAACAGCTTTCTGTTCTTCAGAATGGCCAGGGTCCGTTATTGAATGGCAGCATCGATATTCAGCTCAGCTACTGACCCTCGCTTCCGCAGTCTGCGTTACCCAGGGATACCTCATTGATAGTCGAGTCTCTACGTCGTTTTCAGTTTAATTTGATTCTTTTTGAATCCTTTGGCAGATTAAGTTGACTGCAGGCAATGAAAGAAGTATTTGTATGCTTTATAAGTGATCAGAATCTAATTTTAAAACAACAGAGGTTTAGAATTGCTCCTCTTTGTTTCCACCTCCACTGGGATTTGGCTGTCAACCACACAGAGAGCTGCAGAGAGATGTACTCTGCCTCCAGACCAAGTACACCTTGATAGGCCAAGTGAGGCCTTGTGCTAAAACACACAGTGTATGTGCTGTGTGAGTTTAGACCAGCAGCTGCCACCTAGCTTTGTCTAATATGCCACACTTGGCAGTGCTAAAATCCTCCGTGGCCTGTCTGTCTCACCCTGGATTACAATATCTGGCTTGTCTTCCATGTCTTATTTCATGCTGTGTTTACTGTAACTTCCTTGTGTCATATCATGTGCTCTTGTTGTTTTTACTTTATTACTTATCCTTCCTGTGTTTCATGTTCTGTCCTCTTTGTCCTAGCTGAAGCTGTCATGTTTATTAACACTAAAACATACAGATGAGGCTGAAGGGAATGTGACTTGCTTTGCCTAAGTCTTGGTCATGAACAGAAGTATCAGACAAACAAATTTACACTTGGTGATCACACAAGAGAAACAGTCAGGGGATCACCACAGTCATTACAGATCTTGGAGGGGGAGGCATGAATTTCCCTGCCATGTGTCACAGCAGCGTGTCCACAGTTGTGGTTTAGACATTTCACTCTGAACCACAAATGCCAACCTCATTGTGACGCCAGAGAAAGAAAGTTAGGGGATCACCAAACTCATTAGAGATTGTCATCAAGTATTGAACTGACACACCGACACACAGACAGGTCGCCCTGGTTCTCTTCTTTAGGCCTTCGTAGAAAAATGCTGCTGAGTTGTTTCTTTTGACATGCTTTCTTTTCCTTTTGCTCTGATTATATTTAGATTTCACTTGTGACAAAAAAGTGCACATTTATATTTTTCATGTTTTTCTATGAGGTCATGAGATCAATGTGCATTCAGTATATATATATATATATAAATCCAGGCACATTTTTAATCTGCCTGGGCAGAACTAGTATTTTGATTTCGCCTAGACCAAATTAAAATCCTTCTTATATCATAATGAGATTGTAGTCCTGCCTGGGTAAATTTTAGTTTGGAATGTGACAAATATATAGTGAGGTGTGACACATTGCTATTCGATAATCTAATATAATCTCCACACTTCACCATGTGTGTAAACCTCACATTCTTTCATGCTGTAGCCATCAAAGGGGTCCCACCAACATTTTAAATACAGATGAAGAGTTGTGATACATATTTGTCATGTTAAACAGTCACACAAGACTGATACAAATACTACATTTCAATGAATGATTTTAATTTCAATGTGTTATAAGGATGATTTCAATTTGGTCTAGACCAAATCAAAATTTTAGTTCTGCCCAGGCAAATTTAAAATTTACAGGATTTTAATTTGGACTGTGACATATACATGAGGTTCCAGCAGAAACAGAGAGGACTGCGTCTTAACAGAAACCTAGCCTTTGGCGTTCTGCTCTGTACGATACATGTGACTCTGAAGCTTCATGAAAACTGCATCTGTTCTGCTTCACCACACTGTGACTGGTCCCCTGGTTGTCATTTTTAGTTGATCTTACAGTATATTTAACTTTGTTTGTTTTAATAGGATTTCTAATGATTTTTCTGAGCTGAGCTTTTGCTGCTTCTTCGTATGTTTTGAAATTGTAACCCGGTTCAGTGTTGGTGCACCTGTGGGGAACTGGAGGGACAGGGTCTGGTTGCTCTTTAATCAAATAGACGTATAGCCATCTGCTCAAGCTTGGACAAATCTCTGAGCTGTAAGCCTGTGGGTTATGTGGTCATAATTTGTGATATAGCTACATTATAGTGTCTATTTGAATTTGCCCTACTTTCTCAGTTCGCATTAATACTTTCATGTCGCAGCGTGAGTAATATTCATGGTGATTAATGGTACGGTTGAGACTCTTCATTCCAAACTGCTTCTAATTTATAATCCCTCATATGTCAAGGTCAGGTTCACCTGTTTTTAAATCCCTTAAGCTTATGAATAGCGTAATAATAAATATATCTTTTTTCTTTTCCTTCTTCAACTCCTCTAACAGCACTTCCATGATGGGCGTAAGGCACAGCAGCACATCGAGAGCTCGTGGAAACAGCTGGAGTCGGTAAGTGAGCCTATTTACGTGCCTTTCCACAATATTTCCCTGACACTAGTTTTCTTTATATTGCTGTCATTAGTATGTAGTCATGACTGGTGTTGAGGTTTTAGAGCATTTTATTGAATTTTATTGAGGATTTTGTTGAAATCTGGAATCTGCTTTTGTTGGCTGGGAAGCCTGAAACTCTACAGGTTTTTAATAGCGGTCTGATTGAGCTTAACAGTCTGAAGAAACATCTTGAAAGTGAGATGAAAAACAGAAAACAGTTGTCAGGAGCTGCTTGCTCCAAGCACAGGAAATCATTCAGTTAGATTATTCCGTTAAAGGAGCAGTGCTATCAGTTGGGCCTTTTAAAACGCAATACAGTCATGGCTGTAGGGCGGTGTTACAGAGTGGTGTTTCTTATTTAGTCACTGCATTTGGCTCACAAAGGGCACGTTAGCCAGACAACAGCCTTAGCTTTCACTTAGTCACTATGGAATTAACAAGTAATGCACAGCTGAATCTGTAGCCTAAGAAGTACCATGAATTTCTAAAAATATTCACCATAGTGTGTTACATTAATGACTATTATCATAGAAAGAAATATAAACTAAACATGTATTTAGCCATATGCTTTCAATTGCTATAGATATTTATGAAATCATACAGCAAGTACACTAATATTGCAGCATTAAGGGATTAAAAAAAAAAAATGTATATATATATTTAAAACCGCACAGAGGGTATTTTGGCCTTCATTGCCCACGGCACGATCGGTCATCATCATCAACACCACATGATGCTGAAGCACATGCTGCATCAGACACTCGAGGAGGAGCTGTGTGGCTGCAAAGTATATCACCATAAAAACGGATGGAGCACAGACAGGAGGTCTCAGTTTGTGTCTGGAAAAAAGTAAATATGAGAGCCCTGAGGGACCTCCAGTTCTGCCTTTACCCAGAAATCTCCAACAATGTGTCATTTCTTCTTTTGCTCAGTTATAAGTATGTCATGGCGATATGGGGCAGAAGTTTAACAGTAGAAATAAGGTTACAGCAAACTTTCTATGAATTCATTTTTTGAGAGATATATCATTGACTAACGTGTCATCTGTCCTCTGAATGGCAGTTTTACATTATTAAGAAGACAGTGTGTCAACGAGCTCATTAACACACTGTATCGCCTGAGGTGCATCTACATGAAATGATCTTGAGAACATGGACTCACACTCTGAAATACTGACCTATCAGCTGGATATCAGTTGCAGACCAGATTTGAAGTATAAAATTTCACACTACTGTACACTCGTTGAAACACGAGGTGAGAGCAGGCCCAGTTCTGTCCTGCTATTTGTTTTAGTGCGGGAGCTTAAAGAGAGACTGCACAGAACACCACTTCTTATCTCTGCCTGGCCCCTTTGACGGGGGAGAGACAGAGTGTGAGAGAGATGCATAACTGCCTTGTCCTCCTCAAACTTCTCGGTGCATTCAATGATACCATTGTGTGCGAGGCAGATAGGCATAGTTCAGAGTGCATGCTGGCCCAACAAACACTGATTGTTCAGTTGGAGGGGTCGAAAGAGGGTTGGATGAATGCTTGTTTTTCTGTACACAAATGACCACTATGAACGTTTGTTTAATCTGCAGGCTGCAGACTTTTAACAGACCACATTGCTGTGTCAGTGACATAAACTGATCTCTGCTGTGCACAATGCTGGGTCTCAAACGTATATGACGTATATGTACATGTTATGACGTCCATTACTATGCTTGTTTAAAGGTCAATTTATATAGTGTCCCTGCTGAGGGTTATGGCAGGAAGTCACTGATGTAATGTCTCCTCTGATTTCAGTGTAAAAGAAGATTTGAGAGGGACTGCAAAGAAGCAGACAGAGCACAGCAATACTTTGAGAAGATGGACGCTGACATTAACGTGACTAAGGCTGACGTGGAAAAGGTATGTGTCATCTCAGCGCCGTGCAGCAGTCACGCAGCTTGTCCTATACCCTCCGTGCTTAACACAATCGCCTGGCATTCCTCACCCCTCACCTAGCACCGTGCCCTTTCTCTCACCATTTTCTACCACATCTTTCCCCTCCTATGCCCCCAGTCCTGACTCCACAGTCCACTGAGCCCAAAAAGACAGCAAAGATTGAGTGGCCATGTGTTTGATGGTGGGGACTGTGTGTAAAAGCTGGCATTGTCTCAGCAGCACAATAATCTGCTGCTAAAACAAAGCTGACAGCAGCACTGAGTCCTCATTACCAATGTAAAGCAGCCACCAAACACTAGCAATACAGTGGACTATGTTTGTGGCGGTGCTCGTGTGTGTGTGTATCTGTTTTGTGAATTATACATGTGGACTCACTTTGCTTTTTCATAGTGACAAAAAAAAAAAATGCTGTTTGCAGCTGGTTGTTTCAGTGATTATGTGTCCTGTTCAATAAATCAGTACATGCAGCAACCATCCGATTCTCAGGACTTGTAGACCCGAGCCCCCTGGGCCTGTAGCTGATGTCATTTCCTGTTGTCATGACCAATTAAAAGAATCCTTAAAATCTCAGGCTTTAACCCACACAGCTCCCACGCCCGCAAGGCATCATGGGTCAGCAGCGCGTGCTCCTGCTGCTTCATCAGCTGTTGGAGCAGAGCTCAGGCTCAGAGTTGACACAGTTCAGACCCGATTATTATGCAAATATAGGCTAGAATAAAGAGCCTTTCTGCACTCTGGACGTACGGCCAAAGAGCGACAATAGGCTTAGGCTAACACTGACCTAAACTGGAAAGACCCGGCACAGCAGCTCAAGAAGCTAGTCTTGAAACAACAGTTGTGTTGTCTTTGATTACAAGTATTCCATTTACTGAAGCATGGGAGATTTAGACATTACACAGAATTCAGTAAAAGGAAATGAAACAGTGCTGTATTTTCTATTTCATTTAGTCTGTTTTGCTGCTTGTGTAAAGTGATAAAAAATGTCCCTCTCAACCCGAAAGCCTCTTGCTGGTAGTTTTGCATGTGTGCACAGTAACTTGTACTTAACGTCCCTGTTGACCACTGTACAAAAAGATTCCTGGTAATTGAGATATACTGATTTTTTAAATTGTTACAGAAAATGCAGACACCTTATTAAACATGTTCTGTATGCATTATCCATTTCACACCTATCATACTTATCGTGTCATGCTTTTATGCTCTTTTTGGTTTCATCCCTGTAAAGACCTACACAGGAGCATTCTCACACTAGTCCTGCTCACAAAGTTAGTAAAAAAAAGAAAAAAAAGTGTTCTGTTTTTTTAAGATATCGTTTATTAAAAAATAAAAGAGATCCAAGAGCAGAAAAACATTTGCAAAAGGCCAGCAGACATGTATATAGACTGTAGTTAATGGGACTAAAATGTGCAAAACCACCAGCACTGCCCTTTAATTCAGACGCAAACTGTCACATGAGATAACTTTCAATTATGAATTAATCCTTTTCTGTTCCTATTCCTTTCTCTGTGGGGGCTTTGACTGACCTCAGCTCTCTATGTCACCTACTCACATTTCCATGCTCAGAAATGAAGAACTCAGAATAGAAAAGGCTGAACTCCCACTTATCAATATGTGTGGAAGATGATTGTGTTCTTCCACCACGTTTTCTCTTACATGTCTTTTCCTAACAGGTGTGTGTGATGCTTGTATCTGTGGTATCAAATCTATCAACTGTGAATTCGTAACTAGGTTCTAGAAAAGTTTGTGAATTTGTATGAGAAAAAAAGAGAGAAATGAGGGTGTTTTACTTCTATACTGACTGTTTTGCCTGTTTGTGGTTTAGACGCTTGAGCTGCAATCCCTCATGGCTTTTGCTTGGTGTTCTTAAATCAAGTAAAATATAGAGTAGTCAGTCACTTTTTTTTTACATTTGCTACGTCGTTTTAAAATTTATATTAAGCAAAATGTCAGTTTTAAGTGTTCTGCTTGATTTTAGGCCAACGCTTATGACTACCTGATTTGATCATAAATCTAAAATAGAAAAGAACAGACTATGAGCCTCTCGGTGCTTTTGTCTTTGCAGATAAGTCCAGTTTGTGTTTGTTTTCTGGTCATTTTGAAAACTAGAGGTCGATCAATATGTTTTTTTAGGGCTGTTATCAATAGAGATGATAAGTAATCAAGGAGACAAATATCTGATATACATTTGCATGAAAAAGGAAAATCTTGATGTCAAAATGTAAAATAACTTAAACTTTGTTGAAAGTTATTAGGTTATTAGGTTTGCTATGTGTTTAATTACAAGATACTTTTTAATATTTACCCCTCAGTGTTGGTAGGATGTCACTTGAGATGTTTAACCAAGTTAAAAGGTATAGATGTGACATTGCTTCCAGACAGAGAGAGGTGGCTGAATCAGAGCCAAAGTGTGGCTTAAACAACACAATGATACCAGTTTTCTTATAAATGCAGAATGGTGGATACAGCAATGATCCATACCGATATATAGTTGATCTCTAGTGGGAAATAGTTAAAGTAGGTCTGGGCTGGACAGGACAGAAGAGAAGAGTTATGTGTGTTCTCGTGTCTGTGTCTAACACTCATCTGCAGCCAAAGGTGATCATAGGATTTGATGAGTTACGAATGAAGACATTCTACTGTTTAACTGTTTCAGCAAACCTACGTGTCACTAACAAAAAAACAGGAAGTGTTAGTCTTTTGACAGGTTAAGTTCCAGGAGTTGCTTTTCTCTGTAATGTGATGTCTTCCCCGTAATGCAAAAGAGCTGCTGTTTGTTGAGCTGAGGTATTGTGGTTTTTCTGCACAGCTGGAGCAAACCTCTAACTGTTCCCTCTCCACCTCTGGCAAACAAATGCCTCAATTTGGGGTTTGGATTCTCAGCTAAGATATCCACAAAAGGCTGTTACAGTTTTCTCTCAGGGACCCCTGTCAGTCACACACTGACAGACTTCCCTACTATTCAGATTCTCAGTCATAAAACGTAAGAAAAACTCCATAACGGCTTCCTCTCTACTTCTGTTCAGCCTCTTTTAATAGCATAAAGCAGCGGTTTACAATTCTAGTATTTTCGTGGTGATTGTGTTTGTTTACCCTGATACCAACTTCCCCCTTTGAGTCATGGTGGTCCAGGAAGTGCATCTATGGCAACTTCTTGTTTAGCTGGAAACAGCTAACAATCCTTTTGTATGTGTGTGTGTTTGTATATTTATTTTATGCCATGCCTTGAAGCGAAGTTCCCATAAGGTAGGTCCAGCGGGCAGAGAACCTTTTATATCTGTGGGAACACACACACTGTCTCGACTTGTGTCTCGATACGCACACGGTCTCCTGTAGAGTCTGACACGTAGCCTCGGCCAGGTCTGTTATCACGCCTTGTCCTGTCTGACTGTGATCAGTGGCTTACTGCGCTGTCTTCTGCTCAACACTTTCCCACCCTGATGTTTTTATGTGTTGGAAAAAGAAACAAGAGAAATGCTAAATATGTTGTGTAAAGTCAATCTTTACCTACCAACTTTGATTCAAAGCTTCTTTTTGTTCCTCATTCTCATATTTGATCCCCATTAAGATATGTCTAGATACACAGCTAGCTAGAAATGTGTGTAAAGATGCACACATGCGTGTATGCACAGAGCTGTACCAGAAAAACAGGTAACTTCCACAGAGTGACAACAGGATGTGATGTGGCTGCAGGCACAGCCGCTTGTTTCGGAGTTTATTTATCTGCCAGGTTACCATGGTGATAATGCGTACCCTCATCATTTCTGAACACATTCAGCACACTTTGCATGCACCGACACCAGCACAGCACACATGCACTGCTGCATGCCCACAGGCCGCCACATAGGTTTTAAACAGCTGGACTTTCACGTGTGCTTTGTAGCTTTTCTCCAGATTTCACCTTCCTTTTTTTTTTTTTTTGTAGAATGAATCATTTTCCAACGAGGTATTGTCTGTCATTCCTCATGTGCTGGAAATAATGTACCTCTGTATCTGACGAGTGTCTCGACTCTGATGTCCTCCTTTTTTCTCTATTATGCCCTCGATTACTTACCCATATGTGTGTGAGTGTGAGAGAGTCAGCTCTCTCCTCAGATCGGTGTGTAGGTGAAGACTGGATGAAGTTCTTTAAATGGTTCCCTCAGGGCCACGGGCAGATCAGGGTTATGTTCCCACTACTTCCCTTCACAGTTACACAGCTGCATTTTTTTTTCTGTGCGTCCACATTGAGCAGACTGAATGCTGATTGCAATCACAGGTTCACAGGGGCACTCTTTGTTATAATGACCCAGTGAAATCACTATTAATGCGTGGACGGGCCTCGGATCTGATGGAAAGAGGAAACAGATACGAGTATTTAGCTGGATGAACACTAACACGACGCACGTACACACACGCACACCCCACATGCTGTCTATCTGAGATAATCTCATCTCCATCTGCTTGCTGTGGATCTGTAATAGGCTGCCCCTGCTGCGTTTCTGACTGCCTGCCTTCCTTCCCTTAGAATGAACTCGCTTAAAATAATCAACATTATCGACAGTAGAGATGGGCCAGACTGGGCGGGCAGTCACAATCCAAATCCCCCCCATTCTGCAGCCAGTGCAGGCTGTCGTCTCCCTCGTTTATATGTGTTTGGTCTGGCCTACATTTAATCTAATGCCAAAGGCTGTTGCTGCTTCCCCACTTGGATTTGCACCTGTGACCGCGCTTCCACGAGCTCAATGTTTATGTGTATGCATGAGTACTCGTATGCACAAATATGTCAAATCATTTAGGTTTATATACTCGGGCTGTGTGTGTATGTAATCCATAAGTGTGTGTTAATCGGGGGACAGTGATGTTTGGTGAAGAGAGCGTGTCTGTGATGTGCATGTTTGTCTTTGTTTCTTGCCTCAGGCGCGGCAGCAGGCTCAGATGAGGCACCAGATGGCGACTGACAGTAAGGGCGATTACTCCTCCTACCTGCAAAAGTTCAACCAGGAGCAGAATGAACATTACTACACAGTTATTCCCAACATATTCCAGGTAAATCCCACAGCAGAAAAGATTATCAGTATTATTTACTTAATCTGATTTGTTGTTGCACTATATTTCACCTATAAAGCTGTTTTGAGTGTTAAACTAGTGTAGAATTTATTTAAGTTGCTTACACAAACGGCCGCTTCTACCCATTTTATTTATTTGTATTTCATGATTATTGCTCTTTAGGAACCTCTCTGTCCAAATGTAGCTGACTGAATAGTTTTCCAGAATGGTACATTAATGTGCAATCATTTCTTAGCTTTTGAATTTGAAGTTGTTTGCAGCCCAACACCCCTAATCCGCTCGGGGCTGACAGCTAAAAATATATTTTGAACATGCAGGAAACAGTGAGGCTAACGAGCGATCCTAATTAAGGGTGCAGATATTATATACAAACCAGTTTAATACAAAAAATGATCTTTCATTGTTCTTTTCTCTGGTGTTGTCCAACCTTAGATGCTCAAAATCAAAACACAGCACTTTTAGACTTACATTGTACCATTTTTCAGATCAAATCCTGCCCCTGCTTGTGTTCATCTTTGAATATGCTTATGTTATGCAGAAACTTCAGGACATGGAGGAGAGAAGAATCGAGAGGATAGGAGTGTGCATGAAGACATTTGCAGACGTGGACCGCCAAGTGTTGCCCATCGTGGGGAAGTGTTTAGACGGCATGACGAAAGCTGCTGAGTCCATCGAGCCCAAAACAGTGAGTATGCACAAGAATATATACGTGCACAAACACCATGTGGGACCTATTACTCACTCAGCCAGACTGTCAGTCACCACCCACACATTACCGATTAGGCTTTCAGTTCAGCAACAAGTGTGGTAGTGGAATGGGACTCTTGGGGGGCTTTTTGAAAATAAAAAACAACCCACCTGTGACGAACAAACTGCTTTGGGAGGGCTGTGTTGCAGCAGGGAGAGGAGCTGAACACACTGATTCAATTTATGTGGTGACCTCCCCTTTTGTAGTAAGAAAATCAATGAGTTAAAAGCACATGCTGTGTTTCCCCATTGAACTACTCTTGGGGCTTTCTGTGTTAAAAACACACAGAGTAGTCCCCTTTAAAGGGGCATTCCACTGATTTTACACAGGAAGTTAATTTACCTCAGCAAGAGACAGACTACTGAGCCTGTAAAAACAGTTGTGTCATATCGTTTGTGGCTTTGGAAGGGAGCTTTCCAAAGACTGAAAAAATAACACTGATGATGTCATTGGGATTATCTCAGTTTTGGCTTCAGCGTTAACATTTTTGAGTAAGCTTTCGTTGCACACTAGAGGTGTGAGGATGACAGACATGGGTATTTAAGGAGGCATTTCAGCTTCATAAAGTGGAAGTTTTTTAAAAAATTTTTCCTATAGCAGGGATTAAATGTCTTCTTCAGTTTTGACTAGTCGTGTTTTTAGAATGTGTCGCTACTTGTAGAAGGAACCTGCAGTAATAACTCTTCAAATTTCCCCATTACTTTATCAGTGAGCATACAGATGGCAGGATTGATCAATGATGCATCAACTTGAGTGTCTGTTAATGAGACACTGACTTCAACGCCTTCATGTCCACTCAGGGATGAAGGCTGAAAGTATGAGAAATGTGGTTGAAACTGAAGAGGGCTGACTTGAGAGCTAAACATTACTTAGAACACTTTCAACAGACTGTCCAGTTCTGATTTGTGCACATGGTTATACACTCGTCAGTGGGATAACAACATTTATCTCACTGTAACTGACCATAGTGATGGGTGCTAGGCTTGCATAATATGAGGAAGATGTGCCATGTGTGATAACTTTGTTTATTATTGTGGTGACTGGTGATAAATAGACTATTGAAGTGTATTGAATCTTTGATCAGACATCCTGCTATCAAACATTGCAGTCACTAGAAAATTGACAATAATTAATCTGATGGGTCGCTGGGGCTTTCTCTGATTGGCCACATGGTGCGAATACATGGCTGTTGTATCCAGGCTCCATTCAATAGGTCAAATGTTCACACTCTGAGTGTGAATGCATGGCACCTGTAAATAAAATAATTGTTCTTATTTATTTTTATCTTTTGCAGTGTGTCTGTTGCCCGTGTTCATATTACAATGACAAATCAGTCAGCACTACTGCATGCAGGGAAACAGCTAGCCTAACAGTATCACAGCTTTAAAGTTTATCAGATAACATGCTTGTTTGTTCTGCACAACAAGTGTTTCCTCATTTCCAGTCTTTGTGCTAAGTTGAGCTAACCAGCTGCTTTAGCTTCATATTTCAGTTATGAGAGTGGTGTCGATCTTCTCAGCTAACTCTGCCAGAATAGCTGTACCTATTCTGGAAATAAGAGGAAGTTCGAAGCACTGGGCTTCCTATTGCTCTAACGCTGCTGATCACAGCTCATGAGAGCATCTCTATTTTCAGTGTGTGTATTTCTTTGAAGCACATTTTCAACAGTTGACTAAAGTTCTGTCTCATAGCTAATTGTTATTTATTATTTGGGAAAGGAGGACAGTATTCGCCGATGTTAAAGAGAAAATGAACAGCTTGATATATTGAGATGTCACATGTTGGCTGCCTGCCGTATGACAGAAAACAAGCCCATCCCCAGGGGTAGCGTAGTCTGTGTGTGTGAATGTCTAGCTGTGTACATGGCCCAGCTCCAGGGAGATGACTCCAGTCCTTCACTGCTCTGCTGCAGTAAACAACAACAGGCAATAACACATCACATTCACTCCGTCTGTGTCTCTTCCTCTCGTATTCTTCTCCCATGTAGGGAGAGCTTTAACCTCAGTACCTAACTCCAACCAGACCCTCTGCCCTTATCAGTTCAGATAGGCTCCAAGTTGATGAATGTGCTTCTTCCTGTGTCTGATCAGCCTGGCTCTGTCCCCGACCTCGGCGTTTTGTCATAACTCCTGCCTGACAGATTTAGGTCTTTTCCTCTTTCTTCCGTGGCCCACAAACTGAATAATGGTTCTCCCTCTGCTTTCATGACACACTCATGGACTGTTATCTCACGGAAAATACTATAAACAACAGAGTCAGCGGGCCACTGTAGTGTCACGTCTTATCTCCAGCCCTGCTGATTAGCTGGACAATCTCAACAAGCAGAGATCCTCTGTTTAAGCCATTGTGTGGCATTTTTGAAAAGTTCATAAAAACATGAAAAAGGGTGAATAAATATATGAAGAGTAAGACCTCTACTAATTGTTGCTGTTGCTGTTTCCCACAAGGACTCGAAGCAGGTGGTGGAGTCCTATAAGTCCGGCTTCGAGCCCCCGGGAGATGTGGAGTTCGAGGACTACGGCCAGGCCATGAAGAGGACGGCGTCTGACACCAGCCTGTCCAACTCCAGAGATGGCAAAGAGAAGCCTGCTGGCAAGACCAAGGGCAAACTGTGGCCTTTCATTAAGAACAAGAACAAGGTAACACATGAATGAACACTTAACACAGAGCCACTTTTACACTCCAATGTGCAGCAAGCCCCACTGGTTTTAGTGCATTTTCCTCACTTGGAGGTCACCTTGCACTTAAGGGGGGTTTCGGTGGGATGGGACGACGGGATCTTATAGGTTGTATTATGTTCTGTTTGTTTGTTTTGTTGTCCTGTAATACAGTGGCTGTAGAAATATATGTGTTCAATGTTACATCTGTACTTCCTAGTACTGATTATGTATTTAATTCACTTCCATTTTTTGTGTAGATATTTTGACTTTCGTTCGCTACGTTAAGCTAAAGGAAATTCGTTGCTAGTTCTTTGTTAGTACTGCCATTTTTGTTGTTATTATTTGCCACCCGTTCCCTCCTCCCTGGCGATCACCCTCCACTGGTTGTTTTTGGAGCCTCCCTTCTGTAACACACACTAATGTATTTCTACCTTCACTCTATGGATGAACTCAACTGGCAGATATTAACTTGCTGTCGGATCTGAAGTAACAGTCTCCCTTCACCGTTTTTCCATTGACTGGCGATCAGCCTCGAGTAGCTTCCTTCAGTTTCCTGCTTCTGAACAGCAAAACTGATCTCTGGCTGTCTTATGGGCTGGTGGCACTGTTGGTACTGAATTTAGACCAGAGCATGAGTGAGTAATCGGGTGTGTGTGTGTGTGTGTGTGTGTGTGTGTGTGTGGGAAAGACTGAAGGCAAATGTGTGCAATGCTAGATGAGAAACCCCGGTGTACTTTTGTGTACAGAAATATGGTATTTACAGTCACCGTAGTGCAACCTCCTAAAAATAAGCCGATCTCTGTGTAGCAACAGCACAGAGCCGTGCAGAGAGGTATTTACACTGTACATGCACACAAGCACACATGCATGCAAGCAAAACACATTCAAAACCAGTATTGCCTTCAGGAACAAGGGTCTCTAGTAATTTTTTCAGCTCTTCGTTTTGAAAACAAGGGTTTCTGAATCACTTGCCCATGCATGCGCATTGCGTGGTATGTTAGAGCTCATCACTGCTTCATCCTATCACTCCCAAACTCCTGGTTCCTGAATTATGCAGTTTCAGGACAGAGATAAGCAATTAGATTTGTCTGACGGTGACCTCAAATCCAGCGGCTGATATCCTCGGGGATGTGGTGAATTTCTCGTCTTAGCTGGCATGTTGATGAGGTCGGGAAAGGAAAAATGGGAAAGGATTTCTAAAATGGAAGCCGGCAGCATGCGCTTTTGACTGAACCTCTTTGCTGTTTGCTTTGTTGCAGCCGCTTGCTTTAACACATTTTACGCTTCCTACTCACCCCGGTCCTTTTGTTCTTTTTAACTGTATTTATGTTTTATGTGTTTGACAGTTTTGTTTTGTTTCGTTTTGTTTTTTTTCCACAACATAACAATTCATACACTAGGTTTCCTTTTGGTTGTCTTTATGTTCTGTTGGGGTTTTCTGTTGTGTGTTTATTTTTTAATATTTGTAGGAGGCTTATTTATTTCGTTTTGTGTTCCCTCCTCCTTTTCCTCCTTTGTCTTTTTTCGTTGGATTCTTGCCCCCTTTCTTCTTCTTCTTCTTCTTCTTCCACCATGTTCCTCCTCCTCCTCCTCCTCCTCCTCTCCGTCACGGCTCCCTCTCTTACTGGTAGCTTATGTCCCTGTTAACGTCCCCCCACCAGCCTCCCCCTGCCCCCCCAGCCTCACCCCCGCCCTCACCCTCTGCTGTTCCCAACGACCCCCAGTCTCCCAAGCAGCACAAGGAGCCCCTCTCCCACCGCCTCAACGACTTCATGACCTCCAAACCCAAAATGCACTGCCTCCGGAGCCTGAGGCGAGGGGTAAGTGTGTGTGTCCAGCAAGCTTTGTGCATGCGTGCGTGTGTGCGTGTGTGTGTCTACACCTGTACCTGAGCTCTGTACCTGCTGCACTGTATGGGTGAAGTAATCCCAAGGCAGAAACTTCTGCATCTCTTCTGAAGGTCACGATGCCTACAAGGTATCCCTATGTAGCAGGTGATTATTTCTTCTGTTATAAGTAGTTCAATGCCTTTACATGTAGGCAATGTGACCTCAGTTAGTAAATCATGCTCACATTGGCCCGTTATAGATTCAGAACTGCTTCCAAATTGTACTATTTTAAAGGAGCTACCAGCCAAGTCCAACGGTTGTCTCACCTTCACTCATACAGTGCTCAGCCTTTGTGCTTCTCGAGCATGCTTCTGTAGCGCATAACTACGAATCCATGGTACTCGTCTGACTCACCAGCAGTCTCTTCATTTTGTCCCTTCATTCTTCAAATTAACCATGCTCACGATGACAGTCCCTCTCACCCACCTTCCCCCTTTTTTGACAGAAACTAGCAAGACGCCTGAGCAGTCTTGGCAGTAGCATGGAGACTGCAGTCACTCCCTGCGCTCTTCTCTGCAGTCTGTGCTGGAGGCAGATTGTTCTAGTTTGGGTTTTTTAAAAATTATTATTATTATTTTCACATGACAGAAAAAAAACCGCAAAGATAAGGATTAGACCTCACAGTATGAATCAAGTGATTCATATCACGGGAGATTGTCAGGAAAGTAAGTTCAGAAGGCTTCCTGGAGGGCGCTTTTATCGGCACCAGCTCATTGCTGTGATGGGTGTCATCACCATTTCCTGTTGTATAGTCCAGTGTGTGTTGTAATGGAGTCACTGGGCGACAGTCGCTGGGGAAGGTCAAAGCACGTCTTCCCGTCATGCACTTCACCCTCCAGCTCTCCCTGACCTCAGGAACGGGCGGTAACTCACAATGTTCCTTCCGGACCCGGCAAATATAGTTTTTGTTTGGGGTCATAATTTGAAAGGGCAGCAGTTACTCAAAGTACAAACATTGCTATGAATTGGTGCTAACGTGACGTCTGAAAAGGCAAGAGAACAATATGGTGCAACGCTGCAGCGTGTGAGCATATCGTAGAGGAAATGATTGAAATGAGGCAGAAAAGAGGGAAGTGTGTATTTTTTTTCTAGCGTCAGACAGATGTAGCAGGACGCGCACGTTTTTTGAAAGCGGAAGTGCTGCAACAGCTCTCAAGAAGAGCGATAAAAAAAAAGCATACAGAGTTAAATCAGGTGCATTGTTTCTAAGTGCACGCAGATAAAAAGGATTGAAGTTTGACCTTACTGAAACATTTCATAGATTAGCAAAGTTAAATGTATTTTTGGAGGACGTTGGAAGCTGTATTAGAGTAGTCAGCCCTTAGAGAACCAAAGAATTAGTTTAAATTAATCAACAATCCTTTCCATATCTCATGACAATACATCTATTTAATTTGTACTTCTTTTCATGTCTCATGACAATTACCTGTGTATGTTTTTCATGTATGTAGATGTTGCTTGATTTTTACGACTTAATTGCTTCCTTTTTGGAACAAATCAGCCTAATTTTATGGGTAAATAAAAGGCAGCAGGAGGTGCGTCATTAATCCTGTGAACAAGTCCTTCAGGGACACCAACCCCACTGCACCACCCGCAGAGGCAGTTCAGGCTAATGCCTCTTAACTGTTGCTGCTCGCAAGTCAGGACAACTTCGAGGTAAACAAACAAACCGTCTGTTTGAACCAGGTTAACTAGCAGCAACACTTTACCGTCACAGTTCTGGTGCATACGCTCATTTTGAGAAAGAAGGCTTATTATTGTTTGGATATTTAACAGGTATTGAAAAGCACTCACCTCAAAACAGTCTGTGGAAATTTTAAAGCAACACCATTTCCCCCTCATAAACGCAGCAATAATAGTTATATTCTGGTTCCTAACTAAGAACTTTCATGAGATATTATACACTTTAAATGAGTAGTGGGATTGTTGTGACAGTGGCTTGACGTGTAGAAGACTGCTAGGAGCTGCAGTAAACAGGACAGTCAGCATCTCATAGTGATTTAAGCAAACACTGACATGAACTTACATAATTTACCATTGGTTAATTCATCCATCCTTTCCATCCTGCACATCAAGGTATAGGTCACACTAACACATTAATTCATAACTATATCATAAATAATTCATGTACCAAAAAGGTGTACCCTTGTAATAAATAATTCTAAGCCATATTACACCTATTTCATTATTAAAAGGTCCTTAACGTTAACTTGATAAACCCTGTAGAAACCCTGTTTAAAGATTTAGCAAAGAAAAATCAGGTCATACAACCTACTTTCAGTGGTATTCTGTGGTTAGAACAGCTGGCAAATCAATAAAGTATAACTGTATTCCTGTGTTACCTCCTGCTAGGAGAGCATAGTGTCACATTAGGGATTAGCGTAGTTGTGCCTGTGGAGGTGGGATGTTCTGCCTCTCTGCACAGTGGCAGCACGTCTACCCCTGCAGGACAGCCTTTGTGTGCTGCATATTAGCTGTCTAATCCATCCGCAGTCGCTGTGTGTGTGCGCGCGCGTGCATGTGTGTTGTTTTGGAGGCAGAAGAGAACGCGTCTGTGTTTTGGGAGTCACATTAAGGCGGCATACAGTATAAGAGCTTGAACACATCAGTGCTGTTTTCTCATTGACAAAGCTTTATTCTCTCTGACGACCACCACAGCAGCAATCTCCGCGCTCGCTCATTTATCACAAAGAGCTCATGAAGAGGACTTTGGGCCGACCCACATATGCTTTCGAAGCAAGGCAATATGTTGTAAGTGTGTGTGTGATGGGCGCCAGTGCCACGCCAAGGTGTGTGTGTGTGTGTGTTGCTGTGAGCGCGAGCAGGTGTGTGTTTGGCATAAATTATGAATGAATATCGCGGATGTGTGTGATTGGTAAAAGCCATGTACAACACAGGCAGTAGCCTCATTATTATTTGTTGTTTGACGCATTCGGTCTGTGCGAGGAGATTGTTTGTCACAATTAATGAGGCAAAACATCCTCACAAAGGAGGCTAGTGTCTGTGGCTGGCTCAGTATTGATCACATGGTTCTGACGCGTGTAGAATCGGGACGAATGATCAGAGAAGATGATGACTTCATCCCACATCACATGTATCAGCTTGAGGTTTATTGTGGCTCGCTGTGTCCTCCAGCTGTTTCAGGGCTTCCCCACCGAACATCTTCAAGGGGTCAATTCACAAAGTGTCACAAGCACCTGAGGATGTGTGGGCTTATGGATGTGAGGATACTATTCATCCCACTCAGGAATCAACCCCCTTCTTCGCTAATTAAATCTCACAGGTGGATGTGTAATTAGACGTGGGTGTTGGTCACACTTTGGATCTGGGTTTAGCCTACACTACCCAGAATTCACCCCTCCAGGGCTTTCTTTGTGCTGGTGTGCCATACTTCAGCGGTGTTATCTGTCTGTAAGAACCATATTATACCTGTGTATCTATGTCTGTCTGGGTGGTCGAAAGAGTTTGTGTTTAAGAGTGCTCTAATGAGTAAAACTGTCTTTGCTGAAAGCTTTCTAGTGATCACGTGAACAATCACATGTGAGCTGAGAGCAGGAACAGCCAATCAGAGACAGAAATGCACTCTCTTTTTTACTGCCTTTTTAGATTTTACTCAGTGTTATTGTAGTTTCAACTGAAATGGCAGTTTCTGAACAGGGGAGGTGGCCACGACGCCAGCATACAATGGAGTCCTGGCGTCCCTCCCCAGGACGTTTCACCATCATTCAAGCCTTGATTCATGTGAGTCTCGGGTCATTACGAGTCTTGATTCATGTGGGCTTCAGGTTGTTGACAAGCCATTGAATCATGTGAGTTCCGGTTGAGTAACAACCCACCGGTGACCCTGAATAAATACCTGGAACTCCCCACCAGTCCGTTGGAACTAAAAAAGCCTCCAGGATGAGGTGTGAAATGACTCCAACGACCAAAATAAAGTCCAGTTGCCTTCTATGGAAGCATTTAGTGGTTACAGTTATTCCAAACAACATGTGTGATTGCAATTTTTAGAAATTTCATCACATAAACAGCCATTATTAACAAATTTAGTTTGTTTACATCATGTAAACAGGGAGGAAATTGGCTGTAATTGAAACAAAAAGACTGCAGCAGGAAAGAAATGATGCTGCTGGTGCGGACAGTGTCACTGCATGGAAAATGAATCCAAATAAAATCAGTGTCAGCTGTATTTTTGCTCTTTGCACACCTCAGAAAGGAAAAAAGAGTAATAAAAATAGGTGTACCATACTATCAATGCCAGAGTTACCCTAAAAGGTTAATTGCCTTCTGTTGTCCTTGGCCAGATGTTAAAAAGACAAGCTAAAATTAGAATAAAATGACATATCATAGACAGTCCTTCCCATTCAGAAGACCTCTGGAGCTCTTTTAAATTTAAGAGCATAAATAATCATCTAAAATATAAGAAGTCGTATTGTTAAGCTTACAGTAAGTAGTAGGAATGGTCTTTTACGTACGTCTTTGGGAAAAGTCCAACATTGTATTTTTATGTTCTTGATTTTTTGTTAAAAGTCCGAACAAAAGTCCCTATGTGGCTCTCTACAAACAGAAACAAGGCCCACACTGATTCTAACCTGGATGCATTTGTTTGTCACTTGTACTTCTACAGAAAGTACATTTAGGTACATCAGTAAACCACTTAGAAAATGTGAGAGTAATTTAGATGTGTGAAGCTGAGAGAGAGAGGGAGGGAATCACAAGGCATCATAGAGAGGATCATAACAGGCCATTCCAGGTGGATGACTTGATTAAAGGACTAAAGAGAGTAGAGCTCCTCAGTGCACCAGCCTGTGAGCCTTTAACGAGATTATCAGTCATCTGCTCCAGCTCTACCAGCCAATGGTTGTTAACCTGTGCTCCACTCTGTTCTTTGTATGCAAGCACAGCTCTCAAAAATTACTCAGCAAATACCTTAATAAGCTGGTAAAACACTTTCACAACCTTGCTTTCAATCTGCCTGCTTTTTTAGTTCATGATTATCTGTTCCCTGCCTTCACTCATCCCCTTTAGTTTCCTATATATACACACCTGATTGGTAGGTTTTTCTCCATAACGAATGGGTTTAATTGTGTTCAGTAGTGGTTTTAAAGCGTCTCTTCAGCTTGTCTGTGTACAGTATCTGCCTCCATGTCAACATATGGACCTGCTAATGTGATAACATGCTTTTGGCGCCCTCTGTTGTCCCTGGCGTGTCATTGTAGTGGCAGCAGGAGGGATCAAGAAGTAAAGGGTACATCCACCCACTGTCGCTCTCCCTCTACTTCTCTTCTCTACATTTATTTTCATCTGTCTTCCCTTAATTTTTCCTCATACTTTACCTCATGCTTGTGCAGTAGGTTGGCCTTTTTTTTGGCCAACTTTTTTTTCCCTCATTTTTCATTAATTCATCAAATGTTAAACTTCACCACATTAGAAAAGAGTGGGGGCTTAATATAGCTGATGAAACAGCTTCTTTTTTTAATGACAAAGCTAACATATAAATAAATCACAGTCCTTCAGCTTTTACCCACTTTTCCTTATATGGTGAAGTCTGGCAGAGTAAGGCATTCTTATAAACTGCAGGTAAACTTTTGTTTGTTTGAAGGAAAGTGAAGCAAATGGCCGTGATATTCTCTTGATGCTGACTTTTGTCTGTTGTCTCTTTCTCTCTCCTGCTCTTCGCCATTTTTCTCTCCTCTTCTCCCCATGAAGCTTTCTCTCAAGCTGGTAAGCATGACCGTTTAACCGCACGACCGTCGCGGCATGACCACAGCACGCATGTCACGTCCTCCCAGTAACACAGTGTTAATAACGTTCTGTACGCCGTTATGTTGTTTTTTTTTTCTTTGTTTTTTGTGCTTTTTTATTTTGATTTGGTTCTAATTTAATTACTTAATTTTTGCTGTGACACAACGATGGACCGAGACTCATGTCGTTGTCTCATTTGTATGTTGTTTGTTTTTATGTTGTGGTTGTTTCGTCTCTCCCAAACTGTGTCTGTGGTCTCTGTGGTGCAGATCACACTCAATTCCCACGTCCGGAATCTCATTGAGGTGATCAGTTTTACTCTATGTTTTATCTGTCCGTCACTTAGTCTGTCTTGTAGTCCCTATTGTCTCGACAAACTGTATGTCCTTGTAACAAATACTAATCTGGTCATATGTAGAGGTTATTATCTCGTGTACACCACACTCACACTGCATGCCAATCTCATTGTATTTGTAGAAGTCTGGTTTATGCTGTTCTGTAACACTAACACAAAAGAACTGTATGATCAAAATCAACTAGTTTTTATTATTTTCCCAGAATGAGACACACTTTGAGGGTTAAAGGAATAGTTTAACATTTTGGGAAATACATTTTCATAGTTTGGGACTTTGTTGGGTGTGAAGGTGATAATGGTAGGCCGTTTTCCACAGCAGGAACTTGTAGGGGTTTTTTTTAGGGTGGTACAAACCTCTATGTGTATTTTGACCGCAAGAATTGCCCAGAACCTCTTTCTGGACTGCTTTTGTGGGAAAAAAAACCCACATGTTCTATGGTCAGTCCGCCAGAGCATCCCTGACAAACTGCTAAAAGTTCTCGACGCTCGTTGGTTAAACTCAGAGAAAACCAAATGCTGATTGGTTGAGCTCGGAGAGGACAACAAGTACAGTTTTTCTGCCCTCTCAACAGCTTCATCAAGTCGCTTCAGCTCGCCATCAACGTAAAATTCACCATGTAGCCTAAATTCCATTTCCTATGTGCTCATAGAATTGGATTGTTGTTTGATTTGCGTTAAAACTGTAGTTGGATCAAATCCTACATTGCAATGGAGACAGAAAGGCTGACAGGGTCAATTAGAGAACCGCTCCTGTTAACGTTTGTGCCACCTGGAGTTTCTGCAGTGGAAAGCCTCTCATTGATACACTGGTCTGGTTACCGAAGTTTCGCAAAACGACTGGAAACGAGGGAGAACAGCTGACTTGGCTCTGTCCAAAGTAAAAAAAATCCACCTGTGATCACTTTGCAACTTCACAAATGAACAAGTTTCATTGTGATAAACATTAGATCTTGTTTTTTTTTTTAATATATACAAAAGCCAAAGATGCCTTGCAAGTCCAATGCAGTGAGGAGTCACAGCTCCTAGCCAAGAGATTCCCACTGTTTTCCCATGCTTCCAGAGTTTATGCTAAACTAAGCTAACTACTACTGGCTGAAATGTCTTTTAACAAGAAAGCCAGCAAATGTATTTCACAAAATAGTAAACTGTTCCTTTAAGCATAGTTTGTAATGAAAATTGATTTGGAATATTTTCCACTTAATAAGTTTAGGATTTTATTCTCTGTAAATGTATGCCTGATTGCACAAAGGGAGCAACTTGTGCATTTGTATCTGCTCAATCCAAGCTTGTCATACTATAAACAGCAATATATTCAGCCTGTTCATTGATGAAATGTAACCACGTAGAGTTAATTTACACTTCAGATAACAGTATTTTCATGTGTCACATAGAGGGTTACTTAGAGAATGTGAACACTAATGAATGAACTGTGTAAGTTGTCTCTGGTAGAGCAGCATGTCTCTGCATGGTGATTCACACATCTTTGTTGTGTTGCATGCCTGGTAAGTGTTGCATGCTGATACAGGGAGAAGGGGTAAGGTTGCCATGGTAACCTAGCTGCTGTGTTTGCAGTGAATCCACCTGACCTCGAGTCTGTAGCTCCAGCACTTGTGTCCTGTGTAGCCGCTGTGACCCATCTCAATGAGATCCAATCACAGGCTTTGACCTCTTCAGTCCACGCTTTTCTTCTCAAGTTATACGACAGTTACGCGACAGCAACCAGAACAACCAGAATCACTGACAGACTGTACGGAGCCCCAAAAGTTTTAATATTAAATAATAAGATTTTAAAAAATCTGAGATAAACACCTCATTATGCCTTATAGTAAAACATTATTATATAATAGTAAAAAAGCAACGTATGAATATTTCATCTCTCTTATTTTAATAGTAACTTGACATATTCAGTCACATTTATATTCATGACACTCAGACAGTATTTCCTCGTGACTCAGTGATCCATTCAAAATGTAACTTGCCCAGTTTCCCTTTGGCTTTGGTTTGTAACCAAATGTGTGTAAACCTAATGACTTGGCATTAGCATTTAGCTCAAAATTTAGCTCAGCTGTGCCTCTGTATACCTTAACAGAGCTACTACAAGATGATTGTAGACATTTAGTGTGTTCTCTGACAAAGTCACTTTCAAAATCACAGCGTTGTCACCAGTTCCCTCCCCTTATGCAGTGCAGTTTGTTTAACTTTACTTACATGGTGCCAATTCAAAACATGAGTCATCTCAGGACACTTCATATAGTAACAACAAAACTTTACAATAATCTATCACAGAGAGAAACAACATCCATTTTTTTTTTAGTGAGGATGGCTATCTACCTCAACCGGTTGGGTGGAGGGTAAAGAGGAGAGAAAAAATGATGGAAGATACAAACAGACAATCAAGGCGTTGAGGACTAAGAACACTGAGGAGGCTGCTGAGGCCAGAAAGCATAGATCAGAAGCCAGACGAAAAAACACAAACTTAAGCAGAGACAAGACACAAAGTTAGCGACGACTAATGGAAATGCACAGACAGAGAGAGAGGAGAGAACAGCTTATGGCTTTTAGTTTGAGATTCAGTCTCCAAAGTGCCTTTGACCAAGGCTTGGGGCTGGAGTTGGTCGGCATGGTTACTGCCCACTGCTCCTTCATCTTAGCCCGGGTTAAATGCAGAGTACAAATCTCGCTATGGAAATCAATAAAGGACAAGTTCATCACATGCCTCCAGCCTCCCTAGTTATCTTGCTTCAGCAGCCACAGATGTTTGTGTGTTTATGTCTGAGGAGCATACATAAAGTTAACATTGTGGAGAGGGCAGTGATAGAAATATCTAGTGACTGCTTTCAACTCTAGTTCTTCACTTAATATAGAGTAATAATCCCAGTTCACAAACAGACATAATCATTTTGCTAGCTGAGTAGACTGCAGCCACATTAACCTGAGTAAAAGGTGAGGCTGGTTACTGTGTCTACTGCAGCTAGTTTCCCTCTTTGACATTCTGGATTCTGTTTCTATTTTGTTAAAGTCTGTCAAAGCAATAATAAATAACTATATTACGCACAGTATTATTTTTTGTTAAATCAGTATCATCTCCAGTATTGCTTCTCACTTTTCTATTCTAGTTTCATTTTAACTTAATTATTTTTACTAAATAGATCATACTTATTGCTATTCTATTAGGTGCTGCTGTTAGCTTATATTCCTTATACACTTTTTATGTACTACTCTTGGTTTATTCTAATATCTTTGTACTTTTTTTCTAAGCAATATCCAGCATAAGAAATTCCTTCAGGATTAATAAAATGCCATCTTATTTAGGAGGAGATAACCTACTAGCTTTGGTCGCAGCAGCTGAGTGTGTTCGTGGTAACTGGTGACAACTGTGACATTATGAAACAAATCAACTAAATGTGTCATTGTAAAAGAAAATGTAAACGTGAAACTATGAAATAAAAACACATTTTAAAAAAAGGATCAAAACTACACATAAATGAAAATGAGCCCCTAACTCTCTCTTAGTATAATAATATAAGTTTTAAAATTAGTTTCAAAACCAACATAAATATATTATATACTTTGGTATAGCAAGCCTCAGAATACTGCTGTTTACAGAAAGTTTGAGAGACTGCCGAGCAGGATGACTCGGTTCAGTTCAGACTGGAAACTGTCTCATCAGGAAATACGACCCCTGGCTCCCCAACCTCTTCCACTCACGTAACCTCCATTTTAAGAACACACAGTCCCGTCAGACAGCTTCAGACCCATTAGGCAGCTCGCAATGAAACTCTATATGAGCAGTAATAGGATGTAGCTAATACTTTATTACATTTCCGATGCATTCACAGACAGCGCTTGATTAGGTGCGGCGGCTGAATAGGTGAAAGGCCTCGCGTCTATTCACAAACATCCCAACTCTGAGTGAGTGCGTTAGAGAGCAGCTGCAGTATCTCCTTCAGATGAATGATGTGGTTCTAACTTTACAAGAGCTCTGCGTTTTTGAGCCGTTTATCCCTGAGTCTTGGTTGACAGGGTTTACAGCAAATGGAGATACTGCACCTTAATAGAAATGACCCCTGGTAAAACAACAAGACAACATTTAATGCATTATAAAAGTTTGTTGTTTTCTTACAGTTGTTTTCTTTCCTGTTTCTCTGTTTTTCCCCCTTGTCTCTTTTTCTGCTGTTCAAAGGGTTCTGGACCAGAGGACTTCAGTCACCTACCACCAGAGCAGAGGAGGAAGAAGCTCCAGGGCAAACTTGATGAACTGAATAAGGACATTCAAAAAGAGACGGACCAGAGGTATCCTCATAAAATGTTAAATGTAGCAATATAAGGGGCTTTTCCCTTTTATTTATAACAAACAGCACTTGTGTCAACCTCCTTCATATGCAACAAAGACTCAAAGCGTGCACTGACTTTAGTAATTTGCTCTCCCAGGGACGCTCTCACTAAGATGAAAGACGTGTATGTGAAGAACCCTCAGATGGGAGACCCAGCCAGCGTGGACCCCCGGCTATCAGAAATAGGCCAGAACATCGAGAAGCTCCAGTTTGAAGTGCAGAAATTCGAGGTTAGTTTGGTGCCAGTGTCAGCTCTCATCTCTTTGTGAGTGTTAGTGTTGGCAAAGCTATCTTGTTTGGTTTATCTGAAACAGTAAATAATGAGGAGCTCAAACACACATCTCCAGCTGGGGTGGTTCCAAAGAAGCCTGTCGCTCGTCCATATTAGGAGAAGATGTGATGCAGCTGGAGGAGGTGGAGGGGAGGCTGGCTAGCTGCTGTGCTGGGAGAGAGGAGTCCCAGAACAATGGCCTGGTTTAACCCTGTAAATAAATGGCAAAGACATGGAGTGTAATGCAGACGTGTTCCTCCCATGAAGGTTCTTGCCAAACGTAGATGTCTACTGATTCACGGATAAAAAAGAATTGCTTGAAATAACTTTTAATGTCAGAAAAAAGACAAACCAAAGCCGACACATTCACGACGGTCGTGTGTGTTTCAGGGCTGGTTAGCAGAAGTGGAGGAGAGGATGCCATCGAAGAGTGATTCACACCGGAGAAGTGGACTCTATGAGACCCAGAATAACACAACAGTGAGCAACAACTGTGCGCAGGACAGAGAGAGGTATGGTATACTCCGACAAACATCAGCTCCACACCACTGAGTTGTTACCTGCCGTAATTATTCGGAAGAAAACTATGCGTGTTTTCACAGTATATTTACTGTGTGTGTGTTGGCCCCTGAGCAGCCCGGATGGCAGCTACACTGAGGAGCAGAATTCAGAGACTCAGGTCAAAGCCAACCCCGCCCCCGCCCCCGGCCCCGCCCCCAACCCCACCTCCAGCACGCCGGAGTTTGACGATGAGTTCGACGACGAGGAGACCCTGCCCACCATCGGCACCTGCAAAGCCTTGTACCCCTTTGAAGGTATCCACAATCACACGTTTGACATTAAACAGTCCAAGTACGAAGCTAGCTGGCTGCACTCTGTTGGTCGACAAAGTCCTGTTGTTTCTGAAAATAGGTTGAACCTGACTCTTACAGATGCAGGGTGGAGGAATTAGATTCCTCTAAATGAGGAGGAGTAGGGGTGTGACCTCTCTGTGGACATGTGTGGAGGAGGAGGAGTGAGAATAGAAATACAGTCACTTCTTTGCAACACTACTTTCAAAATTAAATTTGGTGAAGCAGATGTGGTAAAGAGCCCTGATCGATCTGAGGGGTGATGAATGCTGAGATCTATTGATTTGTAAGTTATAAACTCCAAAAGAGACAGTTCGGTTCTCTAAAACTTCTCTAAGAAAGTAGTGAAAATATCTGTCATTGTTGTTGTATTACTGTGTGCTTTATATTTTGGCCATATGTAGATAATGTTGTGTTTACTTAACGGTAGGGTGAGAACAAATCTATTGGAGTGGGATGTAAATGGTTTGCAGGCCAGTCCCTGCTGGACATAACAGGGGCAGTAGGTGAAGTGTAGTTTCTTCAAGGTGACTGGAACAGGAGAGCTGTTGGTGGCATAGCGCTGCCTGATGCTTGATTAAGCCCGCTGGGTCACTGGGGTGAGGATGTATAAAGCTGAAAGACCTGAACTGTGTCCAGGAGCATCAGGATGATGTACGTAAAAGCTGGACTGGTTACTAGACAGTGGACAACTACTGACTGTTCATGATGATAGTTAGAAAGGCAATGACACCGTAATGCAGTAATACTGCAGTAGTTTTGCAGTCAGTCAGGAGTACACTAACTACCAAAGCTGATGTAGATCGATGGCAACTGAAGCAATCAGCAGAAATTCACAGTAAAGTTCCAAAAATGAACACAGTCCCAACAATAAAGAACTAGCTCTATATAAATGAACTGAAGGGCAGTATATTATACCATTACCACAGAGCCCACAGCTCTATGTGACCTTGTTTCTTGACCTAGATCGTGTAAAGGTTTTGAGCATTATAAAAAGGTGTAAAAGCAGAGAGGAGGTAAGAGACAGACATCCCAAGAGAACTACAGCATAACGTACTACAAACCTAACAACTAATCTGCTATTCTGTCCACACAACAATATCACAATGTAGTTTGTCTGCCTGAAAATGTGAAAATACTATAATTTATATAATAATAATAATATCTTAACTTAATAGATGAAGTAAAGGCCAAGCCTATTTTAGTATTTCATAGGCTGAAGAGTTAAACATCTGCAGTTTTTTACAAAAAAAAAGCAAAAATTGGAGAAAAGCATGAAAAAAAAAACAACATTTCTGTAGTAAATTTTTGTCTTTTTTGCTTTAATTATCTAGTGACCCCACTCTGAGGGGTCCCAGACCCTCTGCTGGAACCACTGGTCTAGTAACCACAGGTTAGGCAGCCAGAGCAGAGTGTATTATGCATAATGTCTCAGACTTAATAAACTACCCTCTCTGGTTGTATTTTCCTATTAAATACCATCTGACTTTGCTTCCTCTTTCTTGGAAATCTGATGTACAGGTTAAATTACTGATAAACAGGAAGATAGTTCAAAGCACTTCCTCTAAGTTCCCCTGATTCACTGTTACTTTGTGCTCTTACGTTATCGTTCACTTTCGTTGCTGTACCTCTGCAGGTCACAACGAGGGCACTATCTCTGTGGCCGAGGGCGAGCTGCTGTACGTCATAGAGGAGGACAAAGGAGACGGCTGGACACGAGTGCGGAGGAACGAGGATGAGGAGGGATACGTCCCCACATCCTACGTTGAGGTCTTTTTGGAAACAAATGCCAAAGGTGCTATGACATACATTTAACTCAGCAAGTTTGTGATATGACAGTTTTTGTTACCGTAAGTTTCCATTCATGTGCTAAACGAGTGGGGCAAGTTACAGAGATTATTGATTGTCGCTGGTAGCTCAGACACACACACATTTCCTGTCTCTCCTGAAGGAAGGACCAATCACATTTGTCCATTGTGCCTCATGACAGTTGGGACAGTTGTTGGCGGATCTAGACTGCTCTCGAGCTTTGAACAAAACATTTGTTGACAAGGAAGTACACTGAATGTGAGCTGAGCCTGTATCTGGAGTGTGTTAAAGAAGCTTTCAGTTCCTCGAATTGCGTTCCCTGCAGTGCCACCTAGTGGTCGTACAAAATAAGATCTGACACCCCAGTCACAGCTCAGCATCGTGGGACAAATCAGCTGCTGACAACCTGATTTTCTTTTAAATTATTTGTTGTTAGGATTTAAAATGCCAGATTGATACATTTCACTCGAATAGATTTTAATCAATCATCTTTGGTCAGATATCTAAATCGGTGATAAATCGATTGTACCACATTCGAAGTGACAAAGAGCATCAAGTGAAAGTTAAATCATTGCACAACTTCTTGTGTTTTGGTCACTTGTTGTACCTAAAAGGAAAGCATGCTCGATGTGCAATCATGTAATTTAAACCTGGTGTAAAATATGAATACATATGAAGAGATATTTTTGTAGGCTAAACTGAAATAAAAGAAAGATGGTGGCCCCGCCCCTCAAGTGTTGCATGCTGTACATTGATGATAGTGCTGTTACAGCAAGTAATTATTCTCCCCTGTAGGGGTGAGTTTTATAAAAATTATTGATCAAATTAGTGGCAGTATTAGCCCCCTTTTTGAAATGATGTTTTTTCCTTTTTAATTCACTTTTGATAACGATGGTGTTGGGCTGTTCTGGTCCTTTTTTCCAGGCCAGTGGTAAAGGAATAAAGGACTGAGAATTAGCCGTACTAAGCTATATATGGTGAGACTGGGCTGAGATATGGAGCTGGTCATGACTTTAAGCTTTGTGGTTTCTTGCATGAGTCTCTGAGTGAATGCTCCGTTCACTGTAAACGCATGGTGTGTCTGTTCTCTGTGTCATTTCATTTCACTGTTACAATATGCTTTTCAAGATTGGCCTCGACTCACAAATCACGTCTTTCATGAATCGTCACAGACTTCGACTTCCTTTGACAATTTGTAATCAGCTTTGATGGCGTGTTAGTAGCGCAGCATGGGGTTCTTCTCTGCGGGGTGTCATTTTACACCTCCTGTAATTTTTTTACTGGAAAAAGCATTTCACATGTGGTGCATGCAGCAGCGTCAGTGGGAGGTTTGTCATGACAGGATTTCAGCATGTTGTGACAAAGTAAACAGGCTGCATTCTAACATGCATTTGGATGATAACTAAAGCGAGTCTTTGTTAAACATTTTCCAGTCGTACTTGATGTGCAGATGACATTCATCCCGACTCCACAGTGTTGTCAGTTTAAAGTACTTTCACATAGGCAATGACCTCCTCTCCATATCTGAATATTTGGGTTGCTGTCTTGTCCTCGTTTTCCATAAAGCTAACTTTCCTTTTTGTCATTTTTTTTTTGTTTTGTTTGTTTGTATTTCCTTTTTGAATTGCAGATTCCTAAAAGTGTGAGGCTGGCTGAGGAATGGCAGGGCAAGCAGCCTCGGAGAAACCACCATGTTCCTCACACGCTCACAGAGTCAGAGAGAGAAAAGTGAAAGATGACCTGAATCTAAAAGTGAGACAGAGAGAGAGAGAGAGAGAGAGACGGCCGATTAGAACGCAGCTGAATTTTCCAAACGAAAAAAAAACGAAACAAACATAACTTATCGGCAGCGTTGCGCTTCCTCTGCGACAATAAGAGACATCATCTAAATTCTAGCGCTCATAACTTTTTCCATTCTTAACACCCATTCAAGCAGTCGCAGTACACGATTTGCTTCATGTTGTTTTTCAGCAGAGCTTCGCTTCTTAATGTGACTAACTGCGCTTGCACCACGCGGCCATGAACGAGGCTGTTGGCTTCCTCAGCGCCCCGCCCCTTCCTTGGCTCTCTTTACCCTACCTTTGCCCCGTGACACACACACACACACACACACACACACACACGGCAGAGGGTGTGGTCAGAGACAGGATGGAGACCAGCAGGAGCCTTCGGACAAAACACCAGCTGGATGAAGCCGTGTGTCTGTGAGGGTCATAAATCCACTCATTGACTCGAGAGAGAGAGAGAACCATCCACCTACGAGGCTGCCAGAGCCTCAGCTTCACCCCTCTCACTAAAATCAGCTCCGCATTTGCAGGTTTCAGCCAACCGGAAACAGAAGAAGTGAAGGTGCTAATCATCTGTCTCCGTGTTCACTGCTTTTCTGGTTTGTTTGATCTGAATGAGCCTTCTGTGTTATAATGAAGTCCACTTCTCTCCACCATGATCACTCCCACATTCACATCCAGGGCCGGCTGGAGGGGAAAAAGCGATGGATGATTGAAGGGGGGGGGATTAATCATCCACCATCACTCATGTCTTGTCACTGGTGTCTGCTCCTCTCTCTGACCACACCCCCTCCTCACCTCCACGGCCCTCCCCCCTCCTCAGGCGGCACAGGCTATCCCTTGGCTGCTTTGAGCCCCTTCCCCCCCCCTTTTTTTTTTTTGGTTATTTTTTTTGCAACAGCTCGGGGCGGGGGTCTCTCAGCGTTGTGGTGTGCTGCATGCTTGCCCTGTCTTCCTCCTCGCCCCTCTGCTGGCGGCTCAGAGGAGGCGGTGGGGTGTTAAGTCAGCTTACGCTCCCTGCCTCCAGCCTTCCTGTTCAGTTAACCCTCATTGCCTGGTCATACTGTTCAAATTAACCTGAATGCTACTGTTTGGGTTCGGTGCCTGTGTTTCTTTTTTTTTTCTTTTTTTTCTTTTTTAATATTTCTCTTTTTTCTGTTGTTGGTTCAGAAAGCATGTTTCCCTGTTTTTAACAGCAAGTGTGATCTCCTCCTCCCAGTGTTCCCAACATAATCACAAAACAGTGACGGATAATAGGGACCCGAGATGTTGTTTTTCTGGACGATCTTATGCATTAGATAGGTCGTGGATGTCTTGTGCATTTGTTTTACTGTAAGTACAGTATGTATGTAAAAAAAAAAACTGTTAGTTTGGTATGTTTGATCAGAGTGTCTAACGCAAGTTGTTGTTAGTTTACAGTTAATCCTCGTGGAAATGTCTCCACTTGGTCCAAGCAACCCAAAAATATGAGGATATCATTTACATCTTATTTTTTTAAGATGGTCCACCTACTGTCTACTGTATATGAAAATATACTGTGATCCACATCTTTCCTGTGATTTGAAATGTGACAACGTGCAGATCATCACCTGTTCTGGGCCTTAACCGGGTTTCTGTTCTCACTGAGAGAGAGAATGATGCTGAAGTTAGCTGTGGTAACGTGGGAGGATTAAGATGTGATTATTTTGGAGGGAGGGGGGCAAATTTTTTGTTTTTATAATCAAGAAATTGTCAAACTAGAGAAATGATGTCCACTGATTCCCCCTGCTCAATGGCACATAATGATTTTAACATTTTTGTTTTATATTTGATGATGTTGAGTGGAGATTCTTCTTCTTTTTCTTTTTTTTTTTTAAGCTGGAAAGTTGTTGCTTCTTCTACCTGAATGGGACTAAAATCCCGTAACTGCAAATATGAGTAACATTTACACTGTTGTGTGTTTTGGATGAAGCCATTGTTGAATATTCATCTAACGCAGAATTTTACGAACACTTCCCACACGGAGGGACGATGGACGTCATGATCATTTAGACTCTTGATGGAAGGAATGATCGAATCCCTGCTGAAGTTTGAAAGTAACGCTTCCCCCCCGTCATCGCTTCACATTGTCAAGATGTCAGACAAGCCGCTTTTGTTTGTTAAATTGTTTCTGAGTGATGAATGACGAGATAAATCCGATGAGGCAAAAATCAACAGCAGCAGTAGCTTTCCAGTAGCCATCTGCCTGCCAGTGCTCTGAAATGAGAAAACCACAAACCTTCTAGTCGATGCCCCAGAGTAACCTGCCTGTACAGTGGAAATGAAACGGCGTGTCGGAATTAGAGAGAATATATATGAATATATAAATAAAGTTTAAAAAGGAAAACATCTATTTTAACTATTGAGAGTCTTACCATTACTTTATCTGCTTTGCAAAGTAAGACTTCTTTTCCTTTGTAAGGTCTACCAAATGGTGTGTTTTGCACTTTTTCGTTGTGTTCCATTTGGTAGCCCATGCTTGTGTTTTGGAGCACTGAATACTTTGTATTGTGTTTACTGTGCCAATTAAATATGCCTGGAAAGTAAATTAATGTTGTGTGTGTTTGTTTTCTATCTCTGGGGAATTTAGACACAGTCGAGAGCCATGACGTCGGCTTTCACCAAACGCAACAGCAGCTTCGTTTATACACAGACTTGTGCTAACGACAGCACACTGATGCTGATAGACAGGAGTCTGACGATGAAGCTTTTTGATTTAATTAAAAGGGGATTAATCTTATCAACAACTGTCCACATGTAGCACACTTTATTTTGCAACAGCAGATTTTTTTATTATTTAATATATATATATATATGGGCTGCAAGTTTGCATGTTCTCCCCGTGCAGCGTGGGTTCTCTCCGGGTTCTCCGGCTTCCTCCCACACAGTCCAGAAACATGTTGAGGTTAATTGGTGATTCTAAATTGTCCGTAGGTGTGAATGTGAGTGTGCTTGGTTGT